ACTTCCTTATTGGATCTAATTTAATGTCTTATCCTGAATCAGATCTTTCTGATATTCAAGAAAATAAATTGTCTTTGTGGAATAAATGCACAAGAATTCAGCAGCATATGTGGAAGGTTTGGACCCGCGATTATCTTAATAGGCTGCAAAATAGACCTAAATGGTTCACTCCTCAGGTAGGCATAAAGCCTGGTGATCTCGTCTTGCTTAAGGACGAAAACTCGCCTCCTCTCAAATGGCCTATAGCACGGGTAGTTGAGACATATCCGGGAAAGGACAACAAGGTAAGAGTTGTTAAGGTCAGAACTCCTGAAGGCTTATATGTTCGCTCTATTGCTAAACTGTGTCCTCTTCCTATGACTCACCTTCAAGAATATTAATAGTTTGTTAGTTTAGTTATACCTTTCTTCAAATTGTACATAAACATTTTTTTTTTTTTTTTTTTTCTTTTTGATGCGTTCACATCAAGGGGGGGACTATGTTGCATATCGCAACCTAAAAAATTCATAGGTCGAATTGCCGATAATGCAAGACAGATGCTGTTTCTATTTGCTGCACATAATTGCGAGAAATTCCCTTCTTAACCTTTATGACGTCGACAACAGTCATTCTATAATTTCTGACATTACTCTAATATTTGTCAATTTTAATAACTCTCTAATATTTGTCACTTTTAAAATAAATCGCTCATTTCTCCACAAAAGATTTTGTGTTATATAAAAAAAAAAATATAGTTTTAATTATTAAGTGTAATTTAAAGTAATTACGAGAGTGTGATCGCCAAAATATAAGGTAACCAATTTTATTTTATTATAACTACATAGAACCAAAATCGAAGGTACTGCTTCAATAAGCAGTTAGCAACATATTCAGGGGGAGAAATAAAATCCCCCTATGTTCTGCAACCTAAATTCATAAACAAAGAAAAATTTACCATAATTATCTCGAATATTAATTACACAAAGAATTAAATCAAAGATATAATATTTAAATATTCAATATAGCAACTGTTTTGAGACGAGACGAGACATTAATTGGATACAAATTTCACATTTATCTACCAACTCCATTGAAGAACAATGTGTTTTAACTTACCGTCCTGGGACCGTTCACACTAATTTCATTCAGACCTTGAGGCATTATTTTATTCTTTATTTGTTATTGGAACAAAAAATACTGATTTACAGTTATTTTTAGTAAGAGATCTTCACATTTTTTGAACCCAATTTGATAACGAAACTGATAATCTCTGATAAAATTGTTGTTTTTATAGACATTATTTGTTTCATTGTTTAAGTTATTTGCATTTATAGGAAAACGTAAAAAGTAGTGGGAAAAGTAGGAGATTATAATAAGCCAATGAAAATTACCACTGCGCTGTATGATGTCCACTACTGTTACTGATGGACGAGAGTATATGTTGTTCATGGACGAGATAGTTAGCAAACGTATTCACTTGCAATATAAAGAAAATAATTAGACAATTATAATAATCGTAAATGTAGAACGACGACCTCATATAATATACTAGCTGTACCTAAAATATATACTTACCTGCTACACAAAAATTCAATTCATTTTGAGTCTTTTTATTGATTTTGTTCAGTTAGTAAAAATTGTGACATTGCAGCGATTCGTTTACTCGAATTTATTGAAGTGCTGTCGGATAGACAATATCTTGTTTTTCCTTTTGGTGTATAAACGAATAAATCAGAAGGTTCTCCGATGCGTTAGCAGGCCATATAAAGCTACCCATGTGAGAGACATGAATTCTCCCAATTCAATCCAACCAAACACATGCAACGATTGTCCTTGTGCTCTAGTGATTACGAAAGGGAGTCGCAATGGGAACTGTAAAGGTTGTTTGAACTTGAATATATGTCGGGATCATTGGGATACGTGGCTTATAGTATGAAAACAGTACGTTTTCACCATAGAATTTTCCAGTAAAAATTGTTGCCTCGATGACATTGTTCATAATTTTCTTAACTGAGAGTATGGTTCCGATGCAAAGTTGCGGTGGATTTATGTTTCGGATAAGAATGATGGATATGAAACCTTTCAATGTAAGAACGTGTTGTGGATACTATTCTAGTATTTTTTTTTTAATTTTAATATTTTCCAGGGTTTAGATTTTCTTGTTCCTAAAGAAAAAAACGTAGAATGGGAAGGAACAATTCTATGTCCAATTCTTGGTGAGAACTGAGATCCTACAATTGTGTTTGTGTGTATGTATAGGTGCGTGTGCGCGTTTTATTTGTTAATTTTTTAGGATCCAGAAGAATCTAACTCTTATAACCATGGGAGATTTCAATGCGAAGGTACGACGATGACGTGTTAAAGATGTCGTGGGTGACTTTGGTTTGGGAGATCGAAACGAGAGAGGTGATATGCTAATTTAGTTCTGCCAAGAAGAAAAATTAGTCATGACAACATCGTAAGAAATTAAATTGATTTTTTATTGATTAATCAGAGATACAGAAATGGATTGCAAGGAGTAAAAACGTAACCTGGAACATATATCGGATCTGATCACAAACCCGTAGTAGAAAAAATTAGAAATTATAGATTGAGAAAAATTAAATGAGGCAATAGCGGATATCACGGCAAGATCTTAACAACCGACCAGTATAGAAGACAAATGGAATTGTATTAAAAAATCTATCGTAACCACCACTAAGTCTCTGATCGTTAAGAAGAATTGGATGACTGACGAAATATTATCAACGATGGACGACTGCAGATCATTTAATAACAAAGACAGAACCAAATATCAGCAGATAACCACTTTAATGCATAAATAAACTAGTTAAAGAAGTGACAGGTCATATAAAACATTGCAGTTTTAACAGTATTGTAAAGGACAATAAATTAATTACTGATCCCAAGGATTTACTTCAACATTGGAGAAATTACACACAGCAACTATACTCAGATAACACTAGAAGAAACTCTTAAAGCGAATATAAAAGTGAACTCTCTCCCAAAATATTGAAGTCGGAAGTTGTAAGGGCAATCAAACAGAGCAAATGGGAAAAAGCACCATGCCCAGACAACATATACATAGAGGTTCTAACAATGTTGAGTGAAGACAATATAGACGCCTTGGTAGATCTGTTTAATAATATTTATGAGTTCGGTCAAATACTACATGATTGGCTTCAATCAACCTTTATACCAATCTCAAAAAAGTCAAACGCTAATAGTTGCGACCAATTCCGAATGATCAGCTTATTGAGCCAGGTCTTACAAGTCTTCTTAAAGATAATTTACACAATAATATACAACAGATGTGAAAGAGACATTAGCCCCACACAGTTCGGTTTCAGATAAGGAATTGGGAAATTGTCACAAGAGAAGCACTTTATAGCCTAACTATCCTACTTCAGAAATGTAGATATCAGCAAAAATATGTCTTCCTATGCTTTATAGATTACCAGAAAGCATTCGATTGTTTTAATCATTCAGAATTAGTAAAATTGACCTTAAAATCATAAAGATCCTTTATATGAATCAAGTGGCATCTGTGAGAGTAGGATTGGAATCTACATAATATTTCTCAATCGAAAAAGGTGTACGACAGGGTTGTGTTCTGTCACCCCTCCTTTTTAATTTTTACTCTGAAACGATTTTCGACAGAGCCTTAAGTACCACTGAAGATGGAATTAAAATCAACGGATAGACTATTAATAATTTTCGCTTTGCTGATAATACAGTCATAATAGCTAGTCATAATAGACTGGGCTTGAAGATTAAAATAAACAAGACGAAGGTAATGGTGGTTAGTAGAACACGAAATATGCAATTAAATATAAGAGTAAACAATAAGAACATCCTAAAGGTCCCCAAGTTTAGATATCTCGGTAGTTGGATAAGATCTAGATCCAGACATTGAGATACGTAAAAAGATTGAGTAAGCCAGAACAGCATTTACTAATATGAGAACCTTGCTAAGCAACAGCAGCCTTAACTTAACGCTTCGATATCGCTTTGTAAAATGTTACATTTATTCCATACTGCTATATGTGTAGAAATCTGGACCATAAAGGCCAATGTGATGAACCGATTGAAGGCCTTTGAAATGTGGGTATTTAGAAGACTACTTAAAATTCTCTGGACAAATCACACAACAAATGTCGAAGTATTAAATCGAATGAGCAGAGAACGAGAATTGCTGCCAATGATAAAAAGAAGAAAAACTGTTTATCTGGGTTATATATTTCGAAATTCCAATTACCAGTTCTTAAAACTTATTATGGAAGGGAATATAGAAGGAAAACGGGGCATCGGAAGAAAAAAAATACTCATGGCTTAAAAACATAAGGGATTGGACAAACCTCGATGCCCATGCACTCTTTAGAGCCAAACAAGATCGAGAGGAGTATGCCAGAATTGTCGGCAACATCCACTAATTGGAAAGGGCACCATAAGAAGAATTTTTTTTAGCATGATGTTTTATTTTTTTTATATCCATCACTGTTGCATTTAAATGGTAATATATATTTAGGTGCGAAGGAAGTTGTTGATACAAAGATAATATAAATTTTTTGACATTCCTGAAAACCCTACAATTGATAAAGAGAATTTGAAAAGTTTATTTTTTCTCACATAAAGGACTATAAACATTTTTTAAGTACAATATCAATAGGACATAAACTAATAGTTACTATACTATACTATAGTGTATAGTATATGCTATCAAAATTAAATAATCAATATGTTATTGCCAATTCAGTCAGACTGTAATTTAAAAACGCAGTAAATGTTTGCTAATATAGAGTTTTCGGAATATGGTATTCTTATAAATAGTATAAAATTGAATTTTAAGAATAGACAACTTTTAATATGAGTGTTAAAATATGTTAACTTATGTTAATTAAATTTTTCTAAAGTAAAACGAAAATCCTACCAAAAATGAACATAAAATTCATCTCATTCGTTTTTTATTAAACAAACACATTACAAAATAAACAGTATAAAATAAAATAAATTCTACTTACCCTTAAAATCTCCGAAATAACATTACCATCCCTTGTATGGTGATTTTGTCCTGCTACATTCACTTTAGAATCTTTTTGCGACATGTTTCCCATACGTGTTACCAAATATTACTAGCAAGAATAATCCACTTGTTTTGTTTATTATCTTTGAAGACGTTTATCAGCCTAGATTATAATTTAAAATATATAAAGATTTTGTTTTTGCATAGATATAATTTTGGAATTAAAAGAAATTATACATATATGATGGATTGAAGATACTTGAAGGGGTTAACATTGGGTAAATGGTTTTTAAATTGTTTGTTTTTACTTGAGGTGCAAATAAAGGAAACACACTCGTTGGTAGACGTATGTAGGGAAAATGTTTTTGTGCACTTGACTACCAAGCGTTTGAAATATTGCCATAGAAACGCGAATGTACATAGTACAAACAAATAGGATAGAAATAATTTTGGGATGAATCAGCAATTTCATTTTCACAGCAAATTTCAGATCGTTAACAAATTTAATCAAGAACTTTGTACAAATTAAAAGAAAGATATTAAAATCAGAAGAAAATTCTGATTTTGATACTTATCTGACAGTTCTTCCCTGATACTTAAACTGGAATCTGTTTTTGTCAATTTTTTACTAGCTAATCTATAGATTGTCTCAAAGTGACTAGTCTGTATAGGGTAAATGCACAACATCTATGCCACACTTCTTTGCAAACTTGTATTAAAATAAACGTCACTTCTTACTATTTAGCCTAATCAATCTTTGGTGTTGTGAGTGTAGCTTGAGTACTAATGCCCACTAATGACTCTGCTTGGCTTCCTTCTGTCAAAAAATTTTCTTTTCTGTGTTATTTCCTGCGAAATATCTTGATCCCACAAATATGGTTTTTGTTGTCCGATCTTTTCATATCGCCCTAGTACTTCTAGGGCAGCGGCGTGTATACATACTTTGATGGTTTTGTATAACTGATTAATATTCCTGGTATTATCTTCCGTTTCAATTAGTTTTTGTTCCAGTCTACGTTTATATAGGTTTCTAACGCTTTATTGGTGTAAACTATTCAAATTGTATCGTACTTCTTGTACTTGCTCCTTTGTATGGTTATCTTGCGGCGTTCTTGTTCTCTTTTATGTAGAAATGAAATATCTTAACGTAGGAGGTAGTGGTTACTGCCGCAAGTGGGTCCTCTACACGCTCTTACGTCTGTTATTTTTAGTCGACTTTTTTGTTTGAGATTGACATAGTCTATAACTGATATTAAGTTTCGGGTCTCCTGAGTCCACGTATATTTATGAATTTTTCTATGTTGGAAATATCCATTCATGATTCTGAGACCATTCTGATCGCATATATCTATTAACTTTATTCTGTCATTGTTTGTGTTATCTTCTCCATATCTACTTACTACTTTATCGTTGTTATTTTTTCCGACTCTGCTGTTGAGGTCTTTTTTGATTTCTTCATTCAGTTGTTCGAAAAAGTTATCTTTCACATTTACAATAGCATCGTCATTTATTGCATATATTCCCAGAATGGTCAGTCTGTATCCTTTTATACATATATTCATTTTTACCATTCTTTCGTTAATGCCTTCCCATAATGTGATGTATTTTCTGAAGCGACGGTGTATCATAATAGAGATTCCTTGTTGAGCTCTACGTTCTTTGTGACTCCGGTGCAGAAATGATCGTATTTACCTAGGTTTTCCGATCCTTGACCTTTCCGTTTAGTTTCTGTAATAATAGCTAGGTCTATCTTCATTTTGCTTAGTTCTTCTAAGATTTCTGGAGCTTTCTTTAAGATCCCTTGAAGGTTCCATGTCGCAAAAATCATTTTCCTGTTCCGTAGCATTTGTCGTCGTCGTATATCAGTCCGGTTCCGAAGCTGGATTTTGGAGTTTTTAACCTTTACCATTTTTGATGAGTATCGAGTGGTTAACCCGATGCTCCAACCCCCAACTTGGAGAACCAGGGTTTGATATCGTTTGCCCTACCTGTTGGTCTGTGGGTGATATATTATTTCCCACCTACTCGCCAGTTGATGTTGGATTTCACCTGGGGACGCGCTTTTTAGGAGTTACAGACTCTCCCCCGAGAATGTAACGTACAGACTATAAATAAATGGACAAAATAGAAAACAAGAATGGAATAACCACATAAGTAGAATGGGGGAGATCCATGTCGTCAAAATAGCAAGAGCACACCAATCGACAGAAGTATTGGACGACCCCACAAAAAATGGAGTGACAACCATCCATAGAGGTATTAATCTGCCAATGAACAAGTTGAATTGCTTACAAAGAGGAAGAGAAAGAAGAAGAATTTGTTTTTGTGTTGTCTTCTGTCGTAAAGCGGAAGAAATCTTTCCTCAATAAGCAACCTGAAATTGTCTACAAAGGGTTTGAAGAGTACATATAAACCGTCAACATGCAGTTGTGGACAAGATACAAGAAGAAGTAAGACTGATATTTTTTTTTGTACACACTTATGACAAGTCGAAAGAAAATGCAAAAAAGTATTTTTGAAGTGTGTATATTTTAGGCAATTCCTAGCTGAGCGCTTTCGGCTTTACAAAGCCATCATCAGAGCTATGCTACAATAAAATGTTCTAATGAGTACTAATTGGTAAAGATTATAATTTTTAACTTACGTCAATTTTTTAAATACCACTACAAAGGAGAGATCTCATTTCCTTATATTTCAGAATTTTGATTTTTTAGTTTTTGAAATTTGTTAAAACATATAAAAAACATATAAAAAGCCGACACTGGACTTCACAAACACGTTAAAAAATTGAAAAAATTTTTGTCATGGTACGGGTGTAAGAACCCGACCATTGATTGATGTGAGGATGTAGACAGAATAGAACTAATGAAATCAAATGTCGGTCCTTTTAAACGATTTTTCAAAAGTGACAGTTGACAAATGTCATATATAGGAAATAGAGATTGTTTTTTTTAAATTCTTACAAAATTATTTAATAGTTTGGAATTACTAATAGTCATCAAAGACTTTCTAAAAATTAAGTTTTTAAATTAAATTTTATGTGTTCATCACATCATACAGAATGACATTAGTTTGTAAATTCACTCAAGTCATTGCTCAAGGTCAATGTATGTTCAATCTGAGGATAGCTGTCAGATTGAACATACATTGACCTTGAGCAATGACTTGAGTGAATTTACAAACTAATGTCATTCTGTATGATGTGATGAACACATAAAATTTAATTTGAAAACTTAATTTTTAGAAAGTCTTTGATGACTATTAGTAATTCCAAACTATTAAATAATTTTGTAAGAATTTAAAAAAACAATCTCTATTTCCTATATATGACATTTGTCAACTGTCACTTTTGAAAAATCGTTTAAAAGGACCGACATTTGATTTCATTAGTTCTATTCTGTCTACATCCTCACATCAATCAATGGTCGGGTTCTTACACCCGTACCATGACTAAAATTTTTTCAATTTTTTAACGTGTTTATGAAGTCCAGTGTCGGCTTTTTATATGTTTTTTATATGTTTTAACAAATTTCAGCAACTAAAAAAATCATAATTCTGAAATATAAGGAAATGAGATCTCTCCTTTGTAGTGGTATTTAAAAAATTGACGTAAGTTAAAAATTATAATCTTTACCAATTAGTACTTATTAGAACATTTTATTGTAGCATAGCTCTGATGATGGCTTTGTAAAGCCGAAAGCGCTCAGCTAGGAATTACCTAAAATATACACACTTCAAAAATACTTTATTGCATTTTCTTTCGACAAGAAGAAGTGTTTTTAAAATTGTTTTTACGTTATTACTTTTAATTATCATTACGTCTAATCATCTTGTTAATTTTTTTTATCGGGAAACAATACCAACTAGATAATAAGGAATCCGTAAAAATCAAAGCCAAAACAGAGTAAAAAAGAATTAAAAAAGTATACTACAGATATAAGTAACATGGATAAGGACAAAAAGAGGATTTTTATCAACATTTTAAGATTTGTATTGTTGATATTGTATTGACTTTTTTTTTTAAACAACTTTTTTTAGTGTACCTACCAGCTAATATTCGTTCGTATAATCGCGACAGCGACAATGCAGTCTGCAGTCTGGTGGTTATAAATTGTAATCTATCGGCTACTAGGGGTATTGTACTGTTGACCAAGCACAAGGACAAGCTGCAGTTAAGATGGAGCGGTGGTCAGGGCAAATTGCCGTCGTAACTGGTGCGAGTGCAGGAATTGGTGCTGCTATTGCAGAAAAGTTGGTTGAACATGGCTTAAAGGTAATCAGCAACATTTATATTTATTTCAATTGTATTATAAAAAATAGGAGTGATATTAGAATAAGTGAAACCATTAATCTATCTAATATATAAATGGCACAACTCAAAAACCATGATTTTGCAGAAAACGCAAGAAAACGTTTCTATAATTACAATTATTTTTATTGTATCATTGTGGATGCTGAACCTATAAAACGTGTCAGACAATACTTTTCACCGATAGAAACCTTGCTATTTTCATTGTAGTCGGTGCAAATTTTGTGTAATTTAATAATTTTGTTATAATTAAATATTTGATATTTTTTAGTAAAAAAAAAACAACTAAAAAAAAATATTTTTTTTTTCAATGTAAGGTTAGCAGTGTTATACGGGGTAGTTTAAAATTATTATTAATTTCGTAACAACATTAACACCCTGTATAATTGTAGAGATTTGACGTCAAAAAATGTTGTTTAAAATTATTAACATTACGATATATGTAATTTTTGAACACAGATCGGTCGGAACCTGTCAGTTAATGAGTTTTCTTAAATGAAATACCATGTATTTTAGTATCACAATGAAATATTATTTTAAGATACTTTATTATTTATTAAGTATTTTACAAACTGCTTTAAGTTGTAAGTTATTCGTGATTTTTTGAGCCAAACATTAAGTAAAATAAAATTTAGGTGACATTTTACAAAATATTTACTTAAGAAAAAAATTGTTGAATTTTTAATTAATGTTCACACTGTCCTCCGTCGATGACATCAATACATAACTGCAAGCCATTTTTAAAAGAGCGACTTACACTAGTTAATAAATAAATTTCTGAACTTTGAAAATTAAGTCGTTAGTGTGAGTCTAAAACGTTAATCACAAAAAACTTTTATCATCCATTACCTTCTAGTTTTTGTCGAAGTTAATTAATTTCCTTCATCTAAAAAAACGTTTTTTTTGGCTTATTTCGGATGCCCTTGAAGATGCTATATTAAGCGAAAGTACTTGGGCAAGATTTGATTAAACTTGTGCTCGATATAATTGCCTTAATTTTCAAAGTTCATTTATTCGAGCAATCAACCTCGTATCAATTAAATAAATTTCTGTTAAATCTTATATATTCACTTCCAATTCTCTCCTTCCTCCTCTCCTTCCATATCCACATTATCTCACGTATGTTCAATAGTACTACTTAAAACAATTCCGGTAATTCGTTGTACAAAAACTGTAGATACCATTTTTGCATTTAGTTTACGTTTCCATTTAGTACAGTAGAAGTTTAGATAGTGCAAATTATGTCTCTTTTAAATACGATTCTTGTGGAAAGTAGCTTCATCTCCAAATAAAACGTATTCCAAGAAATATGCATTATTTTGAGATTGTTCCTGTTCCCACCGACACAATTAAACTCTTTTCTTATAATATTATCCCCATTAAGCTCTTGGTGCCACTGTGAATGATATTACCATTAGTTCTTTCCAAATTGTCTCAAAAGTCTTTTATCCAAACAATCCTTGCTTGCTTAACGATTTCGACACATCGACATCTCTTTTTCCAGGAGTGTTTCGGGCTTCCTCTTTTTCTTCTTTTTGATGACGTCCATTCTTAATTCGCTGAGCTTCAATTATCTCAATAATATCTGTATAGGTCTGTTAAGACATCCGCATTTCTCACTTTATCAATGTATTAATATTAAAATATGTCTTTTATTGATTTGATTTTTGTTTGTTATTCTTTAATTTTGTCAATTTTTTTAATTTTTTTTCGATTTTATCATTTTTTAATTGATTCTAAAAACTCTATTTCGTGTATTCTAACATTATCATTGTTTTAGAAATTCTATTTTTCAGTTAGCCAACTTATATTTTCGTTTCCTTTATTTTTGCAAACTTCAATATCCTTTTGAAAAACCATTTATCAGTCTAAATTGGCAGGCAAAAAATTCTCAAAACACTTAACTAAACATAAAGTGATTTAGGAAACATTATAACATAAAAAATATTGATAAGATAACATTTTAGTCTACTGTTTCAGCATATTATTTTTTTCTTTTATTACTATAATATAAGAAATGATTCATTTTTTAAAATTATTTGCTGATTATTATCGAGACAGATAATTTTATGAAAGAACAGATAGGGTATTGGGATTATTTGATATCTATCACAATTGTGCTGTCTGCATGTTTTTTTGAATATTTTTTGTATAAATTTTGAGTGCACATTTCTGGTATACCGACTATTTCGATATATTTTCAAATGAACACAGGTGTATTTCAAGGATCTCCACAAATTTATATTTTACACAATTTCTATTTCTTACTTCTTTTTCTAATGACTCTACATCCCAAAATAAGTCCTGGACTTCAGTAATATCTATTAGCTATAATGTAATATGTCTGAACCTGACATACTTTTTTCCGAGGTGGAATTCGCTTTAAAAAGACTTAAGTTAAACAAAGCAGCAGGATATGATCTCATTACTGCAGACGTCTTGAAGCATCTTCCGGAATGTGGAGTGAAAATATTACATCGATTGTGCAATGAAATATGGCACACAGGCGTCTGGCCTGAGGATTGGAGAAAGACCATAATCATACCTCTTCATAAGAAAGGTTCAACAAATAATTGTAACAACTACAGGCTATTAGCTCTAATATCACAGCCAGTAAGGTGATCCTCTGCATACTGCAACGGCGTCTAGAAAACTTCATAAGTTGGCAAATAGCACCTGAGCAGGCTGGATTTGTAAAGGGCAGAGGTACTAGAGAACAAATCCTTAATGTACAAAACATCATAGAAAAAGCCAGAGAATACCAGATCCCGATATTTATATGTTTCGTCGATTATACAAAGGCCTTTGATAATGTTAGATGGGACAAACTATGGAACATATTGACGACAATGGGTGTACCTAAACACTTAACTCACCTTATTAGCAAACTGTATCAAGATAACCTGGCATATATTCGAATGGACGGATATCTGTCTGACAAATGCACTTTGGAGAAGGGAGTACGCCAAGGATGCGTTTTATCTCCCTTATTATTTAACATCTATTCGGAGTTCATAATGCGCAGAGTTTTGGATGGTTGTGAGGGAGGAGTAAACCTAGGTGGTGTTAAGATATCTAACTTGCGTTTCGCAGACGACACTACACTTCTAGCCTCTACTCCAGAAGAAATTACTAGATTATTAAAAAAACTCGAGGTAGAAAGTGCTAAATTTGGACTCATGGTTAACTACAACAAAACCAAAATCATTGTTATTGATCGCCAACAACAGTTTCCTGAAACCCAAACTATTGCGGGATGCGAGGTAGTCTCATCTATGATATATCTTGGAGCTCTAGTTAACAACACAGGCAGTTGTGAATCCGAAATTAGAAGACGCATTCAACTAGCAAGAGCAGCAATGAGTGAACTAAACGGGGTCTGGCGTGATCGTCACATTACTATGACAAACAAAAGAGACTTGTTTCAACTCTGGTCTTTTCCATATTTTACTATGCATGCGAGACATGGACAGTCAAAGAATCAGATCGACGACGTATAGATGTCTTTGAAATGTGGACATGGAGACGCCTGCTTCGAATTCCATGGACGGCTCGCCGTACAAATATCTCGGTTCTGGATGAAATTAAACCGGATCAACGTCTCTCCAGTACCGTTTACTCTAGAATTTTAAAGTTCTTTGGCCATATCCATCGAAGTGATCACAAAATGGAGCGGTTGGTGGTCTAAGGAAGGCCTCAGACTCAACGCCAACGCGGAAGATCTCCACAGCGATACATATAACTGATGACCGCGACCAGTGGAGAAATATTATCAATCAAACTGTCCGAGCTGCTGAAGCCCAATTATGAACCACAACACATCTACTAAGATGTTAATGACTGTGATGATGATAATGTAATTACTATTTTAATGGGAATAAGCCATAACTAAAGGTTAAAATAAGTTTATTGACGTTTCAATTTCTACTTCACAAATCGTTTTCAAATAAAATACACAATTTGTGGCTTGTGCAACTTTCAATTGTGGCTTACCTCCATTAAAATAGTAATTACTTTAAAATGCCACAAGAAAATAGCTCCAGAACAATATCTCTCTCTAATATACGTTTAGAAAATTGTGACCATCCACTAATACTTCGCTCTCCCAAATTCTTTTTTTGATATTCTGTCCTGCATTGTACTTCTTCTTCTTTAGGTACCATGTCCTCTTAGGAGGTTGGTAATCATCACAGCTATTTTCACTTTTGAGATTGCAGCTCTGAACAAGTCGACGGAACTGCAATTATACCACTTTCTCAGATTGTTGAGCCAGGAGATGCGTCTTGATTAACTAAGGGTTACATGAAGCCGAATAACTATCCCAGGACAGGGATCGAGTGGGAGGAAAGTTCATGATTTTATCTAAACCTATATAGCATTTCCGGTGATGGGTCCAAAAATCTTCTTTAGAATATTCAATCCTTTTTAATACGTTTGATATTAAAAGATCTTTTAGTAATTGGTCAAACCAGATACCGTTATCTTATCTAGTCTATTCTATAATTCATTTTCTGTGTTTAAACTAAACAGCCTGTAATTAAATTAGAAAGCGTTTCTTCTTCGTCTTTACCGCTAACTTCTTTTAGCCGCTAGGGTGTCGGCTAGGGCTTATAATTTCATTTATTCAGCTTTTCTTGGTCGTCCTCCTTTTGCTCTTTACTCTTTTAGTTTCTAATATACCCTTTGGCCAACTTTCCCTCTGTACATACCCCAACCTCCTCGTTATTTTACTTACTATGAAATATTTGTCTAGTTGTTTTCTTATTTAATTATTTCTGTATCCGTCTTTCCAGATGTTGTTGTTTTCTCAATATTTTCATTTCGATTTTTTTCTTTAATTGTATCTAGCGTGCTTATAATTAAGTATAGAACTCGTCCTTTTGGTATCATCTGATCCTTCAATTGGGGTATATACCTTCTTCTTCTTCTTCTCGTGCCACTCCTAGCGGAGATTGGAAATCATCATGGCCACTGCGACTTTGTTAGCAGCGCGCCTAAAAAGTTCAATCGAACTACACCCGAACCATTCACGTAGATTACGAAGCCACGATATTTTTCTTCTTCCCATACTTCTTTTGCCCTTAATTTTGCCTTGCATGATGTTTCTTAAAAGTTCGTACTTTTCACCTCTCACAATGTGCCCCAAGTATTCCATCTTTCTAGTTTTTATCTCATTTAGAATTTCGCATCTTTTGTCTAAAGTTTGGAGTACTTGCGTGTTAGTGACGCGGTCCATCCATGATATTCTGAGAATGCGCTTATAGCACCGCATCTCGAAAGCTTCTCGATGTTTTTTATGGTGAACTGTTTTAGTGTCCAAGCCTCAACTCCATATAACAGGGTAGAAAAGACATAACACCGCAGCATTCGTATTCGTAACTTTATATTGATATCACGATTGCAAAAGAGTTTGCGCATTCTATTAAAGACTGATCTAGCAATTTCTATTCTACATCTAATCTCTTTTGTTTGATCAGTATCGTCTGTGATCCAAGCACCTAGATATTTATAACAGGGCACACGCTCAATCGTTGTATTGTCTATTACAAGATTAGCTCTGATGTTCTTTGATTTCGTGATTACCATAAATTTAGTTTTTTTCAAATTAATTTTCAAGCCGTAACTGTTACAGTATATATTGAGACTTTGAACGAGATATTGTAGTTCTACTAGCGTTCCCGTTAGGAGAACTGTATCGTCAGCATACCTTATATTGTTGATCGTCTCACCATTTATTATCAGACCAAGATCTTCTTCCTCGAGTGCTTGTTCACAGATAGCTTCACTATACAGATTAAATAAAAGTGGCGATAAGATACATCCCTGCCGGACTCCTCGACGGATTTGAATTTCTTCTGTTAGTCTGCCGTCAACCTTGACATTTGCTGTTTGATTCCAATATAGATTGCATATAATTCGAATATCTCGGCTGTCTATATTTTTCTTTATTAGAACTTGTCTTAGTGGTTCATGTTGTACTTTGTCAAAGGCCTTTTCGAAATCAATAAAGCAGGCGTATATATCTGTATATACCTGTATTATGTATATTTCCTCTTTTTGTTGATATGAATAAAATAAATAAATCATTTTTCTGTATGACATCTTCGTTTCCATTTATCCCACACATTTTACCATCTGTTTAGAAATATGAAGTACAGATTTTGTAAACATCTAAAAAATTTTATCAGTAATGTGTTTTATATATTGTTTAAACAATGAGCGTCATCTCTTAATGTTAAATAAAGAATTCCAATTAATGTGTTTAATAAAAAATAGCCTACATAAAGTATGAGTATGAATCCTTGAAACAACTTGGTGGCTATATTTTTGTGAACTTCTTCTTCTTCTTCTTTCAGTGCCCTGTCCGATTATCGAACGTTGGCGATTATATTGGCAATATCAACTTTGTTTACGGCGGCTCTAAATAAATTAGCGGTGGTCTCTTGATATCATTCTTGGAGATTTTGGAGCCAGGATGTTCTTCGTCGGTCTGGGCCTCTTCTTCCGGCTATCTTACCCTGTAATATGAGGTGTAAAAGGTTATACCTCTCTGGATGTCTCATTACATGACCGAAATATTGTAACTTTTGAATGTTTACCATTTTTGTTATTTCTGTGCTCTTTTTCATTCGATGTAAAACTATTTCATTTCTTATTCGATCAACCCAACTTATCTACTTTTTTTTAACTACTCGTGTATTATTATTTCTAAAACTTTCCACAGTAAATAATAATAATAAAAAAAATGTTATATAAAAATAGATAAATTATTCATCGGTTTAATAGAGATACAGAGTACCCACATAAAAGAACCACAATTGATTGTTCAATTAGGGTTAACAATGGTCAATTCCGTAAAATTTGATCGTTCATTATACGTCAAACGTATATCGTCAAAGTAAAACACCGCTTGGTCTGTATTTTCAATAAAAGGATGATTATAAGACTTGTTATTCAATAAATTATTGCCACCAACAAACGCTTTCTTTGTATTCCTATTTATGTTAAATAAAGCCCACTACATTGCAAGTTGTGCATTTTGGAGGTTAGCTAATGAAGAAAAGATAGGCGTGAATGTTCCTACATTGTACAAGTCTCAGACACGTAATGATAATTTGTGCTCTTGTACTTGCACGGAAAATGCAATTTTTATTGTTTCTAAGTTTGGAACTGGAATCCTACTACCGATTCCAGGCATGTAAAACATTATTTTAAAAAAACTTTTAAACTACTAATGATACTTTATGATGCATCATTAAGTAGCATTATACTCATTAGTATCTGCTTGTTCATTCCCTTCGATGACTACATAATATGGTATAAACAAGAAGTTGATTCTTCGGAAGTTTCCTTAAGCTTGCATTAGTTTGGCCTTGATTTTCTCGATAAGGTATTTAGTATAATACGAGTGTTATTAGTTTCCTGCATATTATATCAGAAGCTTGTTCACCAATTAAATGTTAGAGCATAGCAAAGTGATGGAAAAAAACATCAATATTACATTGAATTTGAAACTTAAACGAACTTCCTATTATCATGGGTGATTTCAATGCCCAAATAGGGCAAGGTAAAGTCGAAAATGTTGTGGGGTCATATAGTCTTGGCATAAGAAACTAAAGAGGAAAATGACTAATTCAATTCTGCCAAGAGACGGATATGGTTGTAACGAACACACTTTTTAAATTACATCCAAGAAGACTTTATGCATGGAAAGCATCCTGTTATATCCAAGGGAAAATCATAAGAAATCATATTAATCAAAATAATTCATAAGAAAATGAGACCCAAGGTAAATATAAGACTATTAAAATAAAATGACATCCAGAAAAAGTAAAAACAGAAATTAATAAGAATTTTGCGAAAATAGTTGAGGACACTACTAGAGGCGTAGAAGAACAGTGGAACGAAATGAAGACATTTATTACCACAGTTTCGTACGAATATGTAAAATCAAAAAGGGAAAAGAAGCGAGAATGGATGGCAGATAAAAAATTGCAGATGATGGAAGAGCGAAGAAAATTAAAAGGTAGAAATGATAACGAATACAAAAAATTGTATAAGATAATGGGGAGATAAAATGGGCAAAAGAAGCATGGCTAACGAACAAATGTATGGAAGTTGAAACACTAGAATGCAACCATGACAATTTCCATATGCATAAAAACAAAATAGGTACAGAATACCAGAAAACAACGCAATACAGGTATAGTTGTAGACATTGAATGCCAAATTTTGACTACCATTGAAGAAAAATTACGAAGATGGAAAGAATATATGCAAGACTTAGTCGAAGATACAGCACGAAGTCATACATACAGAAATGTTCAAGGAGTAATAATTTCTCTCTTAAAATTTGATGATTTTTGTCTTGATCTCATCCTAATGAGAAGATTTTTTGTTTTTTCAAAACTTTATTGCATTGAACACTTGTTTTTATCAAAGAGGTATAAGTACACGCTGCTTTTCATTCTACCTATTTCTGTAATCTGATCATTCAAAAAAATATTGCATATAACAGCTTTTAACGCATTCTGTTGATTTTATTTTAGGTTGTTGGGATAGCAAGAAGGAAAGAACGTATTGAGGAATTGGCAGATAAGCTAAAAAATAAACCAGGTTCCCTTCATGCCGTAAAAGCTGATGTTATGCAACAAGAAGAAATCATCGAGGCGTTCGATTGGATCAATAAGAATGTTGGACCTATAAGTATACTCATTAATAACGCTGGTATTGGAAGAAGAACAAACCTAATAGATGGTAAGTAAAGCTTTATATATATTTTTTAATTTAATAAATCTGCACTTTATTATGGACTTTCAGTGCATTGAATAACAATGCCTTAACCATTTTAGGAGACATTGAGGAATGGAAAAAGGTTCTGGATACCAATTTTCTAGCTACAGCAATAGCTACAAGAGAAGTTATAAAAAGTATGCAAGCAAACAAAATAGATGGCCACATTGTGAATATTAACAGCACAGCAGGTCATCAAGTACCTTCCTTACCTTTTAATAACGTGTACCCTGCAACCAAATTCGCAATTACAGCTCTATCTGAAACTTTAAGAAAAGACCTTATTACACTTGGATGCAAAATAAAAGTCTCGGTAAGTCACGAAGTGTTTTTTTTTTCATTCAAATTCATTCTAATGGCATTTTTTGGATTATTTAAGATCTTCTTCATCATCATATTCATCTGATTTTTCGGGTGTTTTTATAGAATTCATATTTCAGATTCACTGAAACTTTTCTGCTATGCAATACACCACTTATTATTCATTCATCGTCCTACTCTACCTCTAGTGCAGGCATGTTCATCTTCTTCTTCATCATCAAAGCTTGATTTAAAAGAAACATCAAATAAAAGGTATTTTCAATTAAAATAATCATTACATTGCATCAAATTAGTACATAACATATATACTCAAACATTAATATTCTATTTTGCGTTGCTCTTCATTTTATATTTAATGAAACGTTGAAATAGCATTTTAAATTATTTATTTTTAAATTATATATTTTTTAGAGCGTCAGTCCTGGATGTACCATGACCGAAATCTTCGAGGCCAATGGATACACTGACGATGAACAATGCAAAGAATTATTGAAAGTTGTACCATCGTTAAAAGCTGAAGATGTTGCCAATGCTGTGGTGTATGTGCTAGGAACTCCTCCTGGTGTACAAGTTAGTAAAATAAATTTATTTTCTACAATCTATATATTTAGGGACAAGTTGCCAAATATGTATATTGTTAGATAAAGACAAAATACATATAGAGTGCTATACAGAAAAGATGTCACTAACCATGATGCAAAAAATATTTAAAAGTTTGTAAGGAGGGTTCAAAAGACATACCGAAAATTAAATTACCAAATAATTTAAGAGAAATTTAAAACAACAGAGCCCCAGATGTGTTGTCATAGAAAATAATAAAGCAGGAAGGAAATGCATAAGAAGGTCAACCTCACACATTTTAAAAAACAGTCTGAACCGTCTTCTATCAAGCTAAAGAGTAGGCAGGTTTAAGCTGAGCTTATGGTACAAACTTTGGACTTATCTGGACATATGGCGATAATTAATTACGCTAGTTTGGTTAGATTCCATGCATATATTGATACTGGTAGATGTTTGGCACAATGGACTGATGATATAAAGGGGTGGAGAGATGGATTTAAAACAGTATAATATCAGGAACACTAGAGACAGTTAAGGGAAGCTTATTTTTAGCAGTAGACGCTATACTCTTTAAAACTATAAATTATAACACTATTTTGTTAACTATACTCTATAAAAATTGTTTCTGTTCCAGGTTACTGAACTGACCGTAAAGCCATTGGGAGAGTTTGTTTAAAAACTGGTAAAACTTGAGGCATTTGAATAAGATATATGTGTATTCTATGTCAAGAAATAAAAATTGTATCAAAAATCAATTGTATCAAGTGTATTTTTGTCCTATGTTCCATAATAACTAGCCATCCAAAAAAAAACGTAAATAAAGAATGCCTGAAAATAAGCCGATTTTTTGGATGGTTGGTAAGTCTTTCACAAGAAATTATAATGATATATATTGTGTTAACTTGCATTAGTCTAAAATGCTACTGCAAGATCACTAAGTTCATAACGTAGTTAACTAAACTCACACAAAAACATATATTTAAAAATATGAGTCAAAAAATGACTACAAATAGTTTTAGTTAAATTAATAGTAATTCATTTTTGAAGAAACATTTTATTTTGTTTATTTTTGACGTGCAACGACACTGGTTTGGCAAGTGATAATAGCCATAATACCATCGAGTTAGAATCTATGGAGAGGGCATCACGTGACTAAAAACGACCTAACTTCGGCCATATTGGTATTATTGTTTTGAAACTTTTGACAGATCGTATATGTTTGTTTACATTTGTTGTTTTTCGAATATTTTCAGTTTTATAATAATTTTATAGAAACTGTAATATATTGTGATAGTGCATAATAATGGTTTCTTGTTCTCAACGTAGTTGCAGTAGCAGAAGTAATGTTAATAAAAAATCTTCAGGAATATCGTTCCACAGGTTAGTATACAAATATGCAAACAAAGTAATGGCCCGTACTCCAGAGAATAAATTAATACTATTTGACTGTATTAATTTATCTTTATATATAATATATCGTGTTTTTAGTGTTTACCGCGGGATAAATAAATCATAGTTTATTAAAAATGTATTGCACTTTTTAGATTATGATTAAATCTTCTAAATAACTAGTCATAATTGTATAGTAGTTTTATTATTATTGAGTCTGGCCCTGATGTCACCGCCATATTGGTATTATCGTTAGCCTCGTCTACCTACGCCGTTTTTAGTACATACGTTAATATGCTCATAGCTTCTCCATAGATTCTAACTCGATGCATAATACAAAGAACTGACACTAGCCATGTCAAACCAGTGGCGTTGCGCTCTAGCTTTTTTTACTTTATCTTTGATATCTCGTTTTTTTGACAGCTAACAACCCTAATTTGCTTAGACAAAGAAAGATAGGGGACGCATAATCATATGGAATTTACTGAAGCCGGCACCACAGAATTGACTGTCATGCACATACTTGTCATGCGCATTGAGTAAGAAATAAGGGATAACGTTTTTACGATAATCGTTTTTGAATCCTTTAAAAATATCACAAATCTAACTACTAGAAAGCCAACAGAAATTAACGTTAATTGACATTTGACAAACGTAACCCATAAAACGGCAGTTCTATAACCTATTTTATTTGAAACCAATTATAAAAAAATAGAAAACATAAATAAAATGTAGATTTGTAGATAAAATGTCTAAATTCACTGATAATAAGACATGAGAGATATGTTCTCAGACTACAACAAATGTAGTAGCTGATTATTCAGTAGAATAAAAGCCAAAAAGAAGAAGAAGAAGATTTATTTGCCATAACAGAAATATTGAAAATAAATTAAGACGACTAAAACACGGAGAACTAATAGAACAATTCTTCACCATATTTTTGATCCTGTAATACCTGACGCACCAAAACCACATTTTGTGTTGGAACACAGCCACCTTTACTTCCAAGCCATGAAGTAAAAAAGGCAACACTGCATTCTATGACGTCGGTAGTCCGATAATCAGCTGTAAGGTCTACCAGAATATTAAACTAATTTGAATTTTAGGAAACTGATATTTTGAAAACTTCAATTCATTACAGAAATATTTTTAGGGAAATTAAATTAATAAAACCTTATATATACCTAGTAAATATATATAAAGTTTTATTATTATTTAGGTTATATTATCAATAAAATAATCACTGGAGTAAAATTTATTGCACTTAAAATACAGTGTCAAACAGTTAAATTAAAAACAAATTTTAAATATGAATGGGTTTGTTGTCATATAGACCAAGTTAAAAGAGGTATACATGAAAAATGTGTTGAATGTAACATACCATTTATAACTTGTATATCCATTTAAAATAGCCTATATTCTCAAAAGATTTTTGAATGTAATACTCAAATTTGTTATCACTTATCTAAAAAGCAGATCTAAATGAGAAAGTAAGTTCTCTAATTGTGACCATCTTGTTAATTTACTATATTGTAAAATCCATTTCAAATCATTACCACTTAATCTATTCTTACCTACATTGACAATTACACTAAAATTACTGCTAACTATTACACTACACATTACACAAATATTATCACACTTGTGTCCCAACTGATTAATGTTTAATACATAGAAATATACACAGTCACTTGTAATTTTACTTGTCCAGTTTTTCAATGGGATATTATTGTCTAAGTCTAATTGACATAATTATGTTATCTCTTGTTCCCTCTTCTTATGCAAAAAGTTTCTTCTGTCTTCGGGATTCCTTTTTTCTTTAGTACGATGAACAGTTACATATGATGGTACTTCAGGAAATATATTAGGAACTGCATTGCCTTTTAATTTGGGAAATATTAACTTTTCAATGTGTACATTTCCATCTTTATCTTCTCATTGTTCAGTCCGCTGAATATCATCTTCATGAAAATGTTTGGCACATACTACGGAAGATTTGGCAATTGTACAGCCTTCTCTATGAATAGAGCATAACCCAGTATACCTTCTTTGGGGATCTTTGGGAAACAAAAAGATACTTTCTGCCTGTTTCATTTTTAAAGTACTGGCATAATTGGTTTTGCAACCAGGTACACAACAATGCCAGAGCATCTGTAACAAAAAACAAAAGTATTATTATTATTGTTTTTAGTTTACATATTTTGTAACAAGAAGCAAAAGTATTATTATTTTCAGTTTGTTTTGTAGGTTATATTTATACTTGCCTTTTAAATTGTTGTTAAGAATCTTCTAAAAGTTCTAAATTTAATGAAATTTCACTTATATTAATATTTTCTAATTGATTTAAACACAATTTACAAATAAAACATTCGAATAAAGTTAAAAAAACAATAAATTCAACAAATTTTACAAGCCTTCCTATATGAAATGTTAAACCAAAACAAACCGCAGTCGGACTACCACGCGTTGTTGCCAAATTTCTACTTCATGGCTTGGAAGTAAAGGTGGCTGTGGTTGGAAACAATTAAAGACAAATATGCTGAATTAAATTTTCGACTTAGGAGAAGGGGTATTCCTCGACTAACTCGGTCTTTACGTATTCCAAATCATATGACATTCAGCTCATGACTTTTTTTCTTTTATATTTTAGATATATGGCATTTGACAACATTACAAATACGTAATTCCTTAATAACGTGACCCTTATTTCTACCTAAATAAAGGAATACCTTATCCGCTAATAAAGTAATCAGTAATTTTTTTATTAATACGCATGAGCAGAATAATGTATAAAGTTACCGAAATAAGGGACTTAAAAACTCTCAATAGAATTGTGTTTCTATTTATGGTTAAAAATCAACTAGGAATAAGTAGAACTTGATGTTTTGTTTATCAACAAACAGTAATTATATTTAGATAAACAAGTTCTTGTTTTTATTTTGTCTAGGCACCTGTTGCACGGAATGTTGAACTACGAATTTAGACATGTTTATATTTATCGGTGAATATAAACGAGTTGGTTCACAATAAAATTCGTGTAAAGTGGAGAACATGTTTGATATTTTCTTCAACAGTTTGGACTGGTGTAATACAAGTTATTGTGTTTTTATTTTTGATTAAAATCAACTAGAAATAAGTAGAACTAGATATTTTGTTTATCAATAAACAGTAAATATATTTAGATCAACAAGTTCTTGTTTTTATTGCATCAAAATAGACTTTCTTGTTTTTGTTTAGGCACCTGTTGCACTAAATGTTGATCTAGGAATTCAGACATGTTTATATTTTTTATCGGTGACTATAAAACGGGTTGGTTTACAATAACATTCCTGTAAAGTGGAGAACTTGATTGTTATTTACTTCGACATTCTGGACTGCTGTAATATAAGCTAGTGCGTTTTTATTTTTGGTTAAAAATCTGTTAAATATTAAATTATCGGAAAATAATGAATCGCTTGTAAAATTCGCGTCGGACATTGTAGCTAGTCTTTGACAAGGACAGATAGGGGACGCGTAATCGTGTGGAATTGCCGGCAGCAGAATTGTTGCCAGGTCATATTTTATTTCTTCAGTAGATTGAGAATATACAGTAGGATGCAAATGTATGGAATAAATTCATTATTTCAGAAACAGACGACTTTTAAAAAAAATCTTAAGACAGGTCAATTTTTGAATGGTCATCAATTGCTATATAATGTGCTGGACATTACGTCATCAGTGTCGGCGTAAATGACGTAATCGACGATTTTTTTAAATACAAACCTAGGTCACGTGACAGCTCATTTGAAAGGTCTTTTTATCGCCTTTGCAACGATATAATCATCTGAATATTTATTTCTACAGGGTTAAACAAAACTATTGGTTTATTAATACAATTAACTTACAATAAATATTTACTTAAATACAATTAAATTACAACAAATGTTCAAATTGACGACCTTCAGCAATAATACTATGTGAAAGATGGGCAATAAATTCTTTCCGAACGCTTTCGATGACTTCAGGTGTTGTTTGTGCAATTTTCGTTCTGATACACCCCTTAAACATTATTCGGTCGGTTTTGATACACTCTGCTCTTTAAATATCCTCACAAAAAAAGTCTAACGGAGTCAAATCTGGAAATCTTGGTGGCAATTCGATGGGCCCCCTTCTACCTATCCACCTACCTGGGCAAACGTTATTAAGGTAATTTCGTACCTCAACACCGTAGTGTGGGGGAGCCTCGTCATGTTGGTACCACAAATTATTTATATTTGGAAATAGCTGATTCAGTTCTGGCAACAGATAATTCTGAAGAACTTCTAGATAACGAGCAGCAATTAAGTTTTCGTCAAAAAAATATTGTGTCCTATACCTACTCTTCCATCCAATGTGGATTTTCACTTGCCCAGTATCGATATGTCTGGCGATTTACGTGACCATTCAGCAAAAAAGACGCTTCATCAGAAAAAAGTACCTTTTGTATGAAACCCTGATCTCTGTTACATTTTTCCATAACGGTTTTGCAGAATTCGATTCTTCTATCAGTCATCTTCTAATAGCTCCTGGACCAGATATACTTTGTATGGATGCCACTTCTCCTTTTTTAGCACTCTTACAACAGTTGATTGGTGGACATTATTATCTAGTGCCACCTGCTTAGAACTGGTATGGTGATTTTCTTGAAACGCCAGTTTCTTGGCTTCGGATATTGATTTTTTACCACTTCTGGGAAGATCTTTAACATGGACCGTTTCTCTATTTTTTTTCCAATTTTGCTTACTGTTGATTGAGTAATTGGTTCGCGATTGGGGTATTTAGCATTGAGTCTGCTAAACTTCTGCTTGAGTCCTCACTCTATCTAAAAACCAATCATGATTAAAATCTCGATTCGTTCTGTTTCTGTTAGTTTCATTTTCTTAAATGCTTTTATTAATGTCGGCAAAATACTCGAAGAGTAAAAATTTGACGTCTATTATTTGACAGATTCACAGATCATTTATAAATTAAGACAAGTCAATGAGAAAATTGATTTAAATATTTTTAAAAAATAACTTTGAATACTTACTACAATAATTAATTTCAGATTATAATGTAGCATTGTCTGTTATCAATGTATTTTCTTCGGAACCAGTAAAAATCACTATTTTGTTTTATTCCCAGTGGAATTCCTGAGTTTATTTTAATTCAGTGAATGAATATTTATTGTAACTCCATATTACTTAACAAAGTTCATAATTTTGGTGAACCCTGTAGACTACATAGTCAAATGATTATATCGTTGCAAAGGTTTGTACAAATACAAACCTAGGTTTGTATTTAAAAAAATGAAATAATGAATTTATTCCATACATTTCCATCATACTGTATATATATCAATAAATAATTTTTTTTTCAAAATGTATAACTGAACACTGACATAATGATAATTTCTTGAACATGACTTTATCATTAGATATCTTTTGGTAGATCGATATGTTTCAGTAAATTGAAGTTGAATTCAGTAAATCTACAGAAAAATCAGACCTGGTAACCCTGGGAGAGGTAGTAATGGGCAACGTACAGACAGCAAAACATGGCGGTCATATCGAAACTGGCTTCACTTTTCGAAAGTTTATTAAATGAGCGTTATCTGCCCAATCTCTTTTCTTGTCCAAGAATCTAATATCTTTGGTAAAATAATACTATTTATTGACGCATGCTTTAAAACTCACTTTTTCGTTTTTTTTTGGGTTTCAATTGTATAATCATTTACGCAGTACATGTAAAGTTATGCTCATCTTGCTCTATGCAATGCAGAACCAGGGATAAATTTCTCTTTACTACTAATTGACAGCTGGGTGATATTTGAATGATACGTACATTTTTTTATGTATATTTCAGTATTTTCTAAATTTATTATTTTTTTTTCTTATTTTGACAAGTAAAAATTTTTTTATAGATCTATTTGAAAGAATTTGATAAGTTTATTAATTTTTTTATAACTTTGTCAGAGGAAGTGTATAGAGTAGTGTTTTATTATTTGCACAAATATTCAGAGTTATGAATATCCCAAATGGAGTTTCAGGAAAAATCGGTAGGCGGAACAACACTGTCGGCGTGCTCGTGCCAAACACGTTGCTACGGCTATGAATCGCAAAAGAGCAGCAATTCGGTGGAACAAACATATTAATTATAAATCATAGCTGGTTAATTGAAAATCAGGGAATCCCAGTAATTTTATTAAAAATTCTAATGTCAAAGATCACACAAAAATGACACGATTGTAATGTTGGTTGCCTAACCAATGATCAAACCATTTTTAACCTCACAATAAATAAGTCAAGACTTGTTTCAATTTATTTTATATTAAAAATATAATCAACGTGTTCATCTTACATAACTATATTAAAAATGTGTTATTATAAATAACATATAAAAGCTAATATAAAGGTAATAAAAAAAGTTGCAACAATTTTAAACTTTAAAAGTTCGAATATCATATAAGAGGTATATAGAAAATATATTTATTTATTTTTTTAAAATATACGAATGTCTTCGACCAAAAATGAGTGAGATTTTAGCTGCAATTAATAAATGACATCCATCGAATCTGAAGCACGTATTTCGAGCCCTTGTTGATAAAAATCCAACACAATAAATTCCATTATGTCAATACAATAATCTATTATTCGAGATTACTCCTTTTTTGTTTTTCTGGTTTCAAAAGTCGCCTTTACAGCTTCTTCGTAAGATGGAGGAAGATTATCGATGTCATCTAAAAATTAAGAATTTAAAGTAAGCTTTTGCTATGAAACAAATCCATACTGCTTACCTGTCGTTCTAGGGGCAGTTGGCTGATAATCTGCCGGAGGTGCACTGGCATTATCGGGTGTGTTAAAGAAATTAAAACCTAAAGGTCTATTTATGGCTCCAGAACTATGGACTCCTATAAATGAAAAAAAAGTAACACATTAGTAACAAATAAAATTAACAGGTATAAAGTATTTAAAAAAAGACTTATTTCTCTTAATAAAAAAATTTATTCAGCTCTTTACCGTTTTGCTCTCAAAATGTTTAAATTGGTTAGCTATATAAGTAATTCAAGCTTTTAAAAAGACATTTTTCTCTGAAATAGAGAAAACTCAACAGAGAGTACTCCTTTATGAGGACATGATTACCAGCAAACTAAAAGAGATTGAGTTACAACCAGAATGGGCAGTAGAAGATACTTGGCAAAAAATCAGGAGATGCATCAACCAAGCAGCAGAAGCAATTGAAGAGCGTAAAATTAACACGAGGACAATAAACCACACCAAACCGTGGTTTTGTCAAGAGGTAAAAGAACTCTCTGAATTAAAACGCAAATGCTACCTGAGATATAAAAGCACACAATCGGAAGAAACTCTTGCAGAATATGTCCAAGTAAGAAACGAAGTAAACACAAGAATAAAATCAATCAAAAGAGAACATTGGCTAAATTCACCAGCGACATGGTGCCCAGAAGAAGGTATGGAAAATGCTTCGGAACAGTAAAAAATCAGTTAACGAGTTCGTGCAAACCAAGGGAGTACCTATAGAGACATGGCAACAGCATTTTAAAGAGATATATGATGTTGAAGAAACACTGAATATAAACAAATACGAAGCAGAAGGGCAACAATCAATGACGAAGAGGTAGAAGCAAAGATCAAGAAGCTAAAAAACAGAAAATCAGCTGGAACAGATGGTATACCCAATGAACTCTTAAAATATGGAGGCCCTGAACTTGCAAGTAACTTTTCACGAGTATTCCTAAGGACAAATTGGAAAGGCAAATTACTAATGATGAAAAACAACAAGGTTTTACAAGAGGACTGTCTACAACTGATGCAGTATTCATAATAAAACAAATAAAAGAAAAAGCTGTAGAGTTCGGCATACCAGCGTATATTTGCTTCATTGATATGACGAAGGCGTTTGACAGGGCTATGAGACATTCTAAATATATTAATAGAAAATAAAACACCAAGCAACATAACAAAGATACTCCATAACTTATAACAAAAATGTAGCCCAAGTTAGAGCCGAAGACCAATTTACTGAAAATAACACCGGGAGTGTGTTAACAAGAGGCAATAAAAATACAAACAGAAAAAATAGAACAGGTAAATGAGTGTATCTATCTAGGACAAGCAATCAGAGGTAACAGAGAAAATCAAACAGCCGAAATATCGAGACGAGTAAGAATGGGATGGGCAGCATTCGGCAAACTTTCTTACGTTCTAGAAAATCAAACAATCCCTCTATACTTACGAAGCAAGGTATATAACTCCTGTATAATACCGGTGCTCACCTACGGAGCACAGACATGGACATTTACACAGGCCAATTTGGATAGGATAAGGAAGGCACAAAGAGCGATGGAGAGACAAATGTTGGGTATATCACTTAAAAATAGAAAACGTAACCAGTGGATCAGAACCAGAACAAAGACAGTAGACGCGATAGAACAAGCAGCAAAACTGAAATGGAAATGGGCTGGACACAATGAACGTCTCCAAGACGAACGATGGAACAATGTCATCGGAAAGTGGCGTCCATACAATGCAAAGAGATCAAGAGGCAGACCACAGATGAGGTGGAAAGATGATATCAGGAAACAAGGAGGTCCCACATGGCAGAGAACAGCTCAAGATAGGGAAAGATGGGGAGATCTGGGGGAGACCTGTATCCAACAATGGAAGAGTAGAGAATAAGTTCAAACAAAAAAACACCGGGAGGAATTAGAAATGGCAACAGTTTAAGCCCGTTCTTGTTTAACCTACTCATGGGCAAAATTATAAACTAAGTAAAATCTCACAATCTCCGATACCGAATGGGCAACAAGAGAATTGGTATGGTGTGTTACGCAGATAATGCAGCAATTATTGCCGAATCAGAAGATGATCTCCAGAGACAGTTCTTTCAAATAAGCCGCAAACAAAATGTGATCATTTCTACCAACAAAACTAAATGTATGACAATAGCAAAGGATCAGCTCAGATGTAAGTTAGTGGTTGAGAACAACCCCATAGAACAGGTGATGCAATTCAGATATCTGGGCATAGATATATCAAGCACACACATCGCAGTAAAGTACCTAAGGAGTCAGATCAACAAAACATCCGCATTGTCAGGATGTCTGCGAGAGATAGTCTGGTCAAATCCGTATATGCGCACAGATAGTAAAATTAGAATCTACAAGATTTGCATACGACCGATCATGATATATGGCATAGAAGTGCGCGAAGATACCAACAAAACAGATGCTAAGGGTTGCCGAAATGAAAACCCTAAGAACAATAGTGGGCAAAACAAGAATAGACAGGGTGAGGAATACAAACGTTATTATTATACCTTCCTAGAAATAGTTCAGAATTACAGAAATACCTCCGAGGAAATTAACCAGAGGCAACTTCAGAATTAAACAGATCGAAAGATCTCCAAGAAGTAGAAGAAGAAGAAAATACATTTACGAATTACAGATAAAATAAATCGGATGTTAGGTTTTTAGCAATTTTGCAAATCTTGTCAGTGTGTGATAAACATTAATAACAGATTGTAATCAAAATTGTGGTAAAAATGATAAATAGTAAGTTAGGTTATGTTTATGGCAGTTTGTACAAATGGCTAAAATTCCAACCCCCGTTGTTTCTATTCCACAGACTTTCACACATCGAGTTAGAATCTATGGAGAGGGCATCACGTGACTAAAAACGACCTCACTTCGGCCATATTGTTAATATCGTTTTGAAACTTTTGACAGATCGTATATGTTTGTTTACATTTGTTGTTTTTCGAATATTTTCAGTTTTATAATACTTTTATAGACACTGCAATATATTGTGATAGTGCATAATAATGGTTTCTTGTTCTCAACGTAGTTGCAGTAGCAGAAGCAATGTTAATAAAAAATCTTCAAGAATATCGTTCCACAGGTTAGTATACAAATATGTAAACAAAGTAATGTCCCGTACTTCAGAGAATAAATTAATAGTATTTGACTGTATTAATTTATCTTTATGTATAATATAATATCGTGTTTTTAGTCTCTACCGCGGGATAAATAAATCATGGTTTATTAAAAATGTATTACACTTTTTTAGATTATGATTAAATCTACTGAATAACTAGTCATATTTGTATAGCAGTTTTAATATTATTAAGTCTGGCCCTGATGTCACCGCCATATTGGTATTATCGTTAGCCTCGCCTACCTACGCCGTTTTTAATACATACGTTAATATGCTCATAGCTTCTCCATAGATTCTAACTCGATGCTTTCACATAATCTAATTAGGTTTCTTTTTCGATGGCTCTAGATCTCTGAAATATTCACCAAGGGTGTCATAAAAATTAAAAATCACGTTTTTGTGTACCAAATTGTCAAGCCACAAGTAAAAATAGTTTCATAAATTTCCTGAACAATTTCAGCAATGGATTACTGAAATATACTATAAGTTGCCTATATTTTGGCGTAAATTAGTGATGTAAGTTAACTAACTAGAATAAAATAATATTAATTTTCTAATTGAATGTACTTTGTTATTAAATACAAAATGATAATGCAGTGTTTATTTAATAATATTGAATGTTTGAAAGAATGGCAATAACATACGAATTCTAGATATTAAAATTACTACATAATTGGAAATTATAGAGTAGAAATGGGTTAAATAGACATATAACACAATTTTTTTATATTTTGTTTATATTATTATGTCTACGGTTTAGGGCATAGACATGCAATAAAAAATAGTTGCCTGCATCTATTTCTAATTTGCCAGGTTTATCGACCACGTAACTTAAATGACCAATGAGAAGGTCACGTGACCGATAAATCCCGTCCATTAGAATGAAACGTAGGGACTGCTTTGTGTAAGTTTTCCCTGTCGCACTGGGGACACAGAAGTGTATCGCAGGGCTGTCTATTTTTATTGTACGTCTATGACCTAAACTAAAATTTAACCTAGAAATGTTACAGTATGACTAGTATTTTGTTCATGTCTTTGTATATATTATACTTACGTCTCACTGGTCCGTGAGGATGTGTTATTCTTCTTGATCTTTCAACTGGAATGTGGCCAAGTTTAAGTTCGGTTTGAACATCTAACACGGTATCCGAATCTTGTATTTTACATTCAGCCTAGAAAGAATTCCAGTTTTTATTTAAATGAAAAAAAAAAATGCGAATTTTGTAAGAATACATGGATTCAGACATTGCCAGACAAACTTGAAAACGATATTGTGACATGTTTAAAAGCCCGAGCAAATGAGGGCAATCCTTGCGACAAACAAGAGTTACTAACTGTAGTTGGTGAATACGTTAAAGACAATTGGTATCTTGCAGCTATGAAACGCCATCCTTCACTTTCGCTAAATAAACCTGAGCATATTAAATGAGCATTAGAAAAGATGCTCGAAAGCCGAAATCATTTATAATTTCTATAGACTAGAAGTTGTTCAAAATAATGGCCTTAATGACATCAGTAAATCCATGTTTGTATTTAATGCCGACGAGAGTAGATTTAACAGTTATGCCTCCAGAATTAGAGCTATAGGATTAAAGGGTAAAACTCTATGCAGAGTTTCTGGTAGTTCTAGACGGAAGTCCACGACAGTACTCGCATGTGTTTCACCAGATGGAAAATATTTACCACCGCTCATCGTTTTTAAGGGTGCTGCTGTCCAAGCAAGATAAGTATCACCAGAGGCCATACCAGGAACTCTCTACGCTTCTAGCAAGAATGGTTGGATGGAGGAACCTCAATTTCACCATTGGTTTCTTAATGGATTTGTACAACACGTGCAAACAATTCGAGAGATACAGAATTTACCAAATCAAAAAGCCGTACTCTTATATGATGGCCACCGAAGTCATATAAGTATTCAAATAATTGAACAAGCATTAAAGCATAACATTGATCTCATTAAGTATCTCAGTCATTTAATGGACAAATTGCAACCACTTGATAAGTGTGTTTTCAAATCAGTAAAATATACATGGGATCGAAGGTTAGTAGCATATGGAAAGAAGAAAAAGGGGGAAGGGGAAGACAAATTCGTAGAACATCTAAGTGAAACTTGGCAGGAGGCTATGCTCTCACAAAATTTTTAAGACTACTGGTGTGTATCCTGTAAATAGTCAAAAATTTCCTGGAAAATACTTTAGGTAGAAAAAGATCATCCTTCGGCTAAAACAGTTGGCCTATGGAGAAGTATTAACTGCTAGTGACGTTTTAAACAGAAGCAGGAGGATCTTAGAAAGCAGAAAGGAAATGAAAGAAGAAATAAAGTTCGAAAAATTGCCAAATCGCTTGAAACTCCAGTACCAAGTAAAAATACAAATATAAAGAAACGTAAAGAGTCATTGTTGTCATCTGATGCAAGTAAACCAGAAGTATCTTATGCTGAGAGTGGTGACAGTCCATAGGATGAACAGGTAGGTAGAAATTAAGGTCATAGCTCTAAAATATATGAATGGTACCTGCAAGCAATTTGCCATACAGGAAATTGACATTAGTTTCGTCAATTTCGAACAAATTATTGGTATAGCCCTGACTGTGCCAAATATTTTTATGAAAGTTAACAGGATGTTTTAGAAGTTTCCTATATTTATAATTTTAAAATTTCGTTTGTTGTAACTATGTATTTTATTTTGATATATTTTTTTTTAAGTTTCCTTGGAATATTTGATATATTCAGAGGTAATTGGAAACACGTGTTTAATGGAACCAACTTGCACAATTTTTAGATTACAAACCATGTATTATTTTACTCCAGTTTCGTTTAGATTATGTTTAACAGAACCATAGATCGTTGTATACAGTTACCCCCTTTTTTAGTTTTTTTTCTTTCAATTTGTGGGGTAAAAGTTTTAGCGTTTTAAATTTCTTTTAACTATGAAATATTTATGTATAAAATTTTGTAGTACGCCCCTGTCGAGAGGAAATTTTTTCGTTTATCTTTTGCAAAGGAATTTTAAAATAACATATTGCGTATAATTTTATACGATGCGTTTTGCAAGTCTTGTGTTTTTTCTCTTAGACGTATTAACGCCAATAGTACATCCAAGGTTATTTTTCACGATTGGTAAGTCGTAACGAAAGGAAGTCGGGTTCCTTGGCGTGTACGGGATGTAAGAAGCGTGGGGGGATTGATTTTTTATACAACTGATGGTTTGTAGATCGAATGAAGGTCAATTTTTTTAGGTTTTGGAAGACATTCGCGTTGAACGGACGTGTGGCATTTTAACAAAAAAAAACCGGCAATTTGGTGTAATGGTTTAAAGGTTAAATGGTGTAAAGTGGTCGAGACCGGACACTGGTGGAAATTACTCTCTGTAATATCGCAGATTAGAATAGAGTAACCACTGAATATTTAAAGGATTTGTGTAGTGTACCAAAATATGGTAAATATTTATAGCAGTATATAAGGTGTGCCACAATGTGCCGGTGAGTTTTGCTTCCAACCTCATTTTGTCGTCTCTGATCGTCGTTGCAGACTATGGAGACAGTTTTCCTTTATTCCTGTTCAGAAATATTCCACCCAGCTTATATCCCAGAGATGTTAGCAAAATTTCCAGAAGTCTTAGTGTAAAATTATTGTGTGAAAACCCAGGTAACAATTTTGTGTTAATTTTCATAGCAAGACTAACATTTTTTTCTAATAACAATAATTGCTTTCATTTAAAATTTAAGAATCTATAATAATTAAAATTATATATATTAGGGCGTGGGTAAAAGATGTCATAATTATTCTCTGTTTGAAAATGTTGTGTTGACATATGACAGCTAGCTTTAATTTGTTTTTGTTGTAACAATTTTTAATTTGCTTGATTTCAATAATCTATTTTGGCCACAGTGATAAATAACCTAGTAAGCATTTTGAAAGATTTTGTAGCAATCTCCATTGTAAAGAGATAGGACATGTAAGTTTTTTCTTTGTAATTTTGTATTTTGCAACTATTAATATAGTATATTTTTTTGTGCCATCTGTAATTTGGTAACTGTTTGTTTGAGACAAAAATAAATGTTTGATTTATTTCTCCGATTATTTTGTTTGTCTTATTTTAGAAGAATCACCTAACTTTTTTTTGTATGTTTACTTTTTAGGAGGGAAGAGCCTTTTTTCTTTCCTTCGGCAAACTAGAATCCTTTGAAGCGGCGCCCGTATCTTAAATTGCTCGAAGCTTATTTTTTGTTGTATTATTTGCCCAGGAGATTTATGTAAGCACCCCTTTGTTTAATTTTTGTTTAGTTAACCCAATCCGACCTTTTTGTTATTCAACTTATCCACGGCCCAGCTCTCCAATTAACCCCTGAGTGCCGTACGCACAAGTATCGATTATTTTGCTTGCCCTATCTCAACCCCTTTAGTTTCTGTCCCCAATTTTCTACCCCGATAATCTTACCCTGAGGTACGCAAAATATTATCGTTACAAGGTAAACATTGGATATCTTCTTTTTTTGTGACTTTTTCTTACTAGTTTTTTAGACATTCTACCGTAAACTTTTCGTATAATAGCCAAAAGCTTTTATTTTATTAAAATATGAAACAGTATATTTTTAAATAACAGTACAAGCATTTCAAATGCTTAGACATCGTGAAATATTAAATAGTGTTTCCAATTACCCTGACTGACCCTAATGGTGGAAAATGTTAATGAGTTTATGCAATACTGTTTATAATTCACCTACCTTCAACACACACTTCTGTCGAAATAAGGTACTTCCTATAAAATTTGGAATGTCTATAACATCTGGTACTTGGAATCTGAAAGAGTACAATTCCTGCTGGCCGTGAGCCAATTCCCTGCCTTTAGCTCCCGTTAAGAGTTTTTCATAATATTTCCGACTTCTTCTAGGAACTGTAGCAGTAACTTCAACTACCTAAAACATATAAATCATACTCTTTTTAATATGACCGCAACACCAATAGCATGTAAGTTGTGAATAACATATACAGCACAGAAATGCCACTACTTATTTTTAGAAAAAATGTTCTTCATTAATCTTAGCTGAACAGAAAATTATGTTTTGGTACACTTACTAATGTCAGCGTTACATCTATTTCGGATATATCTTGATCTGATTTATTGTTCACATCCAATTTAAATAAAATAGGTTCGTTAACAGTGTAGGCTTCTCTTTCTAATATCAGATCCATGGTAACTGGGTCACCTGCGTAACAGCAATGCCATATGACTTCTTCATTCTGATAAACAACTGGTTCCTACAAATTGCCTTAATTTGTACTCATTTGTACACATTTTTATATATTTTATAGATGTTATGGACAATCACCACATCATAACAGATAAAAAACCTAAAATTTTCTTATACAATAATTATTATTGCATTCAAAATATGAAAAAATAGCTTAAAAGGGTGGATAGAAAGTAAACAAAAAGTAAATATAACAGTATGTACACAGCCTTCAACATGACATTAATTTCAATATTGATTAGCTGATGTTATCCACTGGAGGTTCCCGATAGATGCGAATAAGATTATTATATTGTTAATCTCCACAAAAAAACTGAATTCCTGTCGTTACGTGTATACCATGAATATCCAAATTTTTATTTAAAAAAATTCTATCTATCAAAGTGCTATCTGGTATTACATGTTTGAAGCCATTAAATACATGAGTAAAAACCCTTTTATGGCAACTTAGGACACCACTGGAGTTGCTAGCCCATAGACGAGGTGTTTATGAGGACTTGTTAATAGCTTTTTTTATTATGTAGCATTTCTAAATTCTTTAGTATATATTGAAATCCCCTCGTATATGTGTTAAAATACCGAAGAATATTTTCAACGTATTTCATTTCCTATCTGCATCGACAAAGTTGCTAATAAACACATGTTTAGAGTTTGTTTATATTTCACAGATGCGTTTTTTCTCGGTATTTCTTTTGATCGAAGCCGCTTTGAGATATTTTTCATGGTCAAATAAACGAAATATTCCAGTTTATATGTATGTTTTATTTATGCTAAGTTGGGAAACGAGTGATTTTTAAGAATTACACCACTCTCGCTGAGGCCGTTGTCAAGAGTGGTTGGCTTCAGTGTTTCTCCAAATTTTACGTCAAATTTGTAATCTTCCTCTGTTTTTCGTCTTATGTTTGGAATAGTAGTTTTGTGGTAGTTAATTTTGCAGTACGTATAGTTAGTTTTAAATTACAAGGTTGAAAAGGGTGGCCAAGGTGAACAGATGTCGGTATGTAGTTTGGAGAAGCCGGAAAAATTTGTTGAATATAGTGAATTATATTCTACGTAATGTGTCAGTTTTAAAAGAGTAATCACTATTTCTATTTTTCTAAGTATCTAAGAGATTTGTGTCGTCTACAACAAATTTGGAAAATAAAGCCAAGTCTTAGGTTTGCGTTTAGTGCCACTTCAACCTCATTTCTGTCCTCTCCTGGTGATTTTCTATTTTTTAAATTTCTTAATGCTTCTTAATAAGAAAATATAAATATAGTAAAACAAAATTTCAGCAGTAAGAAATAAAAAATCTACAAAAATGTCTTACCAGTTGAATCTCGCTTCGTATATCATTAAAATTGATAGGTGCTTTTATATGAATTGGTTTCTGTTTTTCATAGAAAATATTAAGGTCATTTTGTATACTAACTAAAACGCCGAATTTGATCCATCCATGGTTCATTGAATAGGAACTAGGAATTCTCTTAGGCACTGTGATAGCAAAAGCAAACTCATGAAGTCCAATCGACAAACTTACATCTAAAAAAAAAAAACAGTCTTTATCAACATTATGAACCAAAACTTTGTAAATCAAATCAACAATTCAGTAGTTTTTTATTTCTATCTATTACCTGTACATTCATCAACAAAAAATTTCGTTATGTTTTGCTATAAATTTCATTTTATTAACTGCATCAACAACTGAAGGTTATTAGCTGGAGGATAAAATAAAATAATTACAATATAAATTTATAAAGTCAATTACAATTTCAGTTGTGTTGATGTTAATTAGAAAATTAAAATTATGCAATATTTAGATATTTGAGGATGTTGATGTCATTTAAATAGTAACTTAAATAATTACAATTAGGTTCTAAAACTCATAATATATTGTCAGGTTAATTACTATTTAACTGGGAATAAGCCACAATTAAAGATAAAAATACGTTTATTGACGTTTCAATTTCCACTTCGGAAATCGTTCTCAAAATACAAACAGTAAATTAAACAAATTTTGTTTTTTGTTACATAGTGAAAAATTCTTCTAATAATTTAATTTTATCTGACTCATTTATATTGACAATTCAGACATACATTATGCATTTTAAAGTAGACGACTTTAAAATGATATTGCCAATATTGTTGAGTTGCGCTCCTGGGACGACTTTACTTATAAGATAGTTCATTCGATTACATGAAATCAACTTTAACATGAGAATATCCCTCTGAAAAAATCATAGCATGTAATTCTGAAAAAGACAAACACATGAGATGATGATAGTAAAATTCTCCTGTTAGTTATTCCATAGTAAATTATGAGGGAAAAACCAGGAAAAAAACCTCATAATACTATCCCGACATGGTAAGTATTTGTTAGTGCATTTAGTTTACCTTCAATAAACACCAAAATTCTGATTTTAAATTAGCAAAAAAATTATTTTTTTTATTGGCATAGACTAGGTGTCAGTCAGCCAGATACAACATGACTACTACCTTAAACATAAAAATTTAATGACAGTAAAGTCCATAAAACATCAATAACAAAGAGCTAAATAATATTCTTTAAGAGCTAAAATTAAAATAGGATACAATAGCAATAGGATACAGCATCTTTTCAACATCAGTGTGTTCAAAAAATGGTACACATAATATAATTCAAAATACAAACTTTTGCTGTATTATCTCGCTTTTTAATCTATATTTCGTACATCTCTAGTTTCAATACTGCCTACAACTCTCCAAAATTCCAATTTCAGTTAAAGCTTTAAAAGGTGTCATATTATGATACCCCATCTAATGCAATACACCTTAAAACTGAAATATTTGTCTTTGGATAAGTAGTAAAAGTAAGATAGTTCCGGTATTACACTGTAGGGTTTTGAAATGCAAAGGGCCAATAACTAGGAGTGGCGATAATACAACTCTCTGCCACAATACAACCGATGTAATTTCAATACGGCCACAGACTGCAAAAATTGTTAGATTTAGTGGTACGATTTTACTGTTCTCAATTAATTATGCACAGGTATCCAGGATTTTAGTGTACAACGATTTGATTTAAAGTCTGAAAACAGTTATTGTGATATTATTATTACTTTATTATCAAAACCGATGTCAAGGGCAAGAAATGCTTGGAGCTAAAGCTTTGCAAAGCTATCTTAAAGATGATGAAATCTGGAGAACATTCAGAAGGTTTCTGAGTTATGAATGACATCTCCTTTGTGTTGAACGGAGGTTTTTGTATTTCAACCAAAATCACAGTGAGGTTTTACTTAATGTATCTAATTTTTTTAGCTTACTCCCGGTTGCGTTACCCGTGCAATCAAATCATACCGCACAAAAAAACTACATACAGACCCTCCGCCAGATGATTAACATAAGCGAGGTCAAATTTTTATGAAACGAGAGCGAATAGATGAACGTTACTGAACCGTGAAAAATAAAAATAAGAGACACATAAAGTTCTTTTCAAAGGGTAGAATCACATATTTTCGAGCACTAACTACAACGAATACACTAGATGGTTCACTTACTTTTAGCTCAATTGGTATCGCTACTACTACAAACTACAGAGAGAGTGAAGAAGGCCTGTGGATATAAATGCATTCTAGAGCATATGTTCAAAACTGAGTTTAAACATATACTTACTTCTTTAGAGGCCAAAAAAAGATCAGTGCGCAATTTGTGAACATTAAAAAATCTCGCTGAACAGTAAGCTACTCTTCATCAACTTATAATAAAAAATCCATAATAAAATTAGAAGCAGAGAAGAAAAAGCACAAGATCTATCCAAGATCAGAAAGATGAATCTCTCAAGTATTTTAGCTTGTTTTGATTTGCGAGGCGATCCTTCCTACACCTTGGAGATGTTTCAAGTTACACTATAAAAATTGCAAAGCCTGGAACTGCTTCAAACTTTGCCAATTTTTTCAGGTATTGCAAAGACAAGGATTATTGTAGACTTTGGCCACGAGGCTATTGCTAACCCGCGCTCAACGAAAAATCTACGTGTCTTGTTTGATATCTTTCAAATCATGTTAATGATAAAGACGTTTATATATGTTATATAGGGGGGGTGCGACAATTGGTTGGGCAAAAATAAAAATATATTTAATTACATGTAATCGCTACATGGTAACTATACATAAATAATTGCCCATAAATTTTTAACAGTGGGACATACCCAAAATGAAGGGAACGCCATGCACGCAACTATGAGAGCCAAAAGAAGAAAATACTTAAAACAGGTCCCATTTATGTTCCTGCACATATGGGCCTGTCATCATAAGATCTGCAAAAAAAGAGAGAAATCCTTACAATGTAAAAGAAATGTCAACAGAAAACTTTTATGACTTTAATAGATCTCAATTCAAAAATTGGAGGAAATTTTACAAAGAATACAAAGGATGAAAAGGTAGTCTGGAATGATATCCAAATTATTAAGTTGTCAAAAGTAATCCTGGATCTTTCTTCTTAAAAACAGATTATAATGCCGATGAGTTCGAAAAGGTCCATTTTAAAGCATCGACAAGGGGGCGTTCAGCAACTATAGAAGCAGTAATCGATTTAAAAAAGGCGTACATAAAGCCTCTCATCGATATCCGCAAAAACCAAGCAACACCTTTTGGAACTGTGCAATAAAAACTTAATATTACCTGTTTCATTACATTTTTTATAAGGACTTGGTTAAGAGTAATTAAAAAATATATTATACACACTTGTATAATAATAAAATATTTTTTGTAAGAACTAGTTGATTTTTTTATTATGTTGCCGCAGTATCTCCTATTTAATCGTTTTATAAATGACTTTCTTCACAATGCAATATCGCCATAACTATCAATATACAATTAACGTTTTATTTTTAATAAACTGTAATAAGGTCCAGCGAATAACTGTATAATTTGCTAACTAAATTGTAATTTTGAAGCCAGTCATTCTAAAAATAATTATTTACAGGGCATAACTCGTTTGCTACAGAACGTTTTGCTCATTTTCTCGAAATTATTGTATTTTGGACTTGTGGCACTATTGAACTAGGTGTGCGATTTACATACAAACAAGATGATGAGGTTCTCAGAGTTCCACAGCAAACTCTTGAGCAGCTATCTACTCAATCCGACAGCTGCTTTGCTATGGACTGTCCAAGTTGCTCATCACAATATTGCATATACATATAGTTGACACTACAAAAACTATTTTAGTACCTCACTTAACATAGGTACCACAAGAACACAGTTTTGAAACATCCTATTATAATTGATGCACAAAATATTTTTCATTGATTTGTAATATTTAACTCACCTGTGGATAGCTGCTCTAGATATGATATTATATTGTTTTCTCCTTTATAATGTACTACTCCTGATTTCATGGTTTTTGTTCTTTGATCATATAAGCTTTCTGTTGTGGTCCACCTGGTTTCTTCAATACCAAAAAATTTGCATAGTATATCTAAAATAATAGAAAGAATGTAAGTACCCATTTAAACAAACTTTGTATGTTCTTTTATTTCAAGAGCAGTGTATAGGGCACATTTTCCTATGTTTTGATCATGCACAGCTAAGAAATGTCTTTACAGTTCTATATTGAAAATGATCAGGACATACTGTGACTATTATATGACTCCCGAGGTTGTTCTAACACCCTGCCTGTACAATAAACCTGCCTACCTAATAACAAATACAGACTTACTTTGGATATTTTGATTCGAAGTAAGATCAAGGATTATCGTTCCTCTTATTATATCATCTGGTTTGTAGGTACCATCTGGATCAGTTAATATAATATCAATATTCATTTTCGCTGTTTCGTTTTCTATAATAAATGTAAAATAAATTATTATATTTGAAAATCAAATTAGAACATAAAGAATGAAATGAAAATCACATTACAAATTGGATGAACAAGAATAGTTTATTATTGTCTGGTAATGCCAAAAATATTGTAAATCCATATTTTTATCCATAGTTGTTATAAAACAATCACCATCTCTTCTATATTCCTTGGATTCACCAGTCCCTCATACCTATTGGATATTTAAATTATGTGGATAGAAAATTCAGCAATATGGACGCAAAACAAACCATAAACTTAATAATGAAGGTATATATGAATTACTGAAAGTATTTATTTAACAACGCTTTTCCGAAAAAGATTCTAAAATCTTGAATAATTCCAGAATTCAGAATTATTTAATTCCTGAAAGTCCCGCCACTGAATCTGACATTTGACAAATCTTGTGTTTACATTTTATCACAAGATTTTATTTTTTATTTTTAAGAGTTAATCTTAACTTCTTCAAATTAAGCATTAAATTAAACGTTGTTAACCATATTTAGATGGTTGCCTTTAAGAATACCATAAATATTTTTTATAATACCGATATTACATAGGCAACACAATAACCAATCACTTTGTATTATGCTTAACTTCTGTATGCGATATGGTTTACTTTATTATAGATCTAGATAATTCTGCAACAGAACAAATGTCCAAGTATATAATAGACAAAATATGTACAAACAAATTAAAAACTTTCAAACAATTTAGAAACCTTTTACCTATATTTCTAAGAATACTTGATACAATCGAAAAAATACATTAGATACGTTACATACCAGATCAAGTATATCTAACCACTTAATTATTTTCAAAACTTAAAAACGCACAAATTCTTGAACATTGAAACGAACTTCCTAATCAACAGATAAGCGTTGTTGAAATAAATGCAATTAAAATTTGTACTGACCTTGACATCTGACTCATTATTTATGTTGAAAGTTTTTTGAGTGTGTAGTGTAGCTGATGTATATTCCATCTCTGCGTGTTTAGTTTTGCTAATTCGCATTAGCCAGTAGCGTCACATAAAATAATTTAAAATATTTTCCTGTGTTGTCTTTTCGGAGGGGCTTTTATTATTATGTTTCTTATACAAATACTTATGTAATTTCTGTTTTAATTTTTAAAATAAAATAGAAAAAGATAATTATTCTTCCTATTTATCTGCTTTCTTGCCGAGTCATTTTCAGCATTATTTGTAGCCTTCCGAAAAATTTTGATTTGGTCACATTAATACTTACAGCATTTTTGTGTGATTTAACTCTAACTTCCGATGTGATTATTGCTTCATTTATGTTAATGGACTAATCCTAGAGTTAATTCTGCTTGTAATTTTCTTCTTATGGTTAATTTTTAAATTTTTAGTTAAGTTGTTAAATACTTCTCAAGCTAATATGACTCACATTTATTAAGCTTACTCAGTGGTCCCAAATATCTATAGCTATAGACCAATATTTTGTAATAATGATGATTATTAGACTTTATGTTGTAGATATATATATATATATATATATATATATATATATATATATATTATATATATATATATATATAATATATAATATATATATATTTTATTCACATTTTTGGTATCACCAGTGACACATCACGTGATTCTTGATACAAACATAGTCAGTAATTAATAAAAAATATATTACATTTAATAAATAATTTATATGTTTTTAAATACTTGAGTTTTAAAAAGAAATTCTGTTTTTTTTTTCAGATTCTCTTTTTGGTAACGATATAACAATTACTTTCTCTCTCAAAGTCTTCACTTTTTAATGGCTTCATCATAGGAAGGCGGTGGTGCATCTAAAAATAAATTGTTTAAATAAAAAACAGTATTTAAACAATAAAATTCAAATTATACATATATTAAATCTTAAATGCTATAAAAACTAGTAAATATCGTGTTGTTTTTTGGAAAACATCTGCAAAATAATCAAGATGATGCATTTTAATACAAGAATGTTTATGTTTACCTTTATCTATATTAGATGGTCTAATATTATGTCTCTGTGCCAATTTTGATAGCAATTTTATAAATATACAGGGAAACTATTAGCAAAAAACGAAAACAAAAATTAACTTTAACACCCTGTATCTTTTTTCTCAGCAACATTTTATTAAGGCATATTTGGCCCAATAGCCATATTTTGGTCCAAATAACCTGTCCATTAGTCTATGTCCCAATAGTTATGATAAAAAATCTGATAAAAAATTATATTAAATTTTACCTCTAATTGGAGGTGCTGATGGAACATATGTCGTTGATGGAACATATTTCTTTTTACTATCAACAGCAACATGCCCTAGTTTTATATTTTTTTCTAGAATCATATTTGTGTGAGGATATGGCAGAAGGACTTCCACCTAAAATATATAATTCTAATAATTTTACAAGCACGTAACAGTATCGTGCCAAATTTTTCTCCAATATTTTACTGTCTTTTTCTCGAAATAAGTTTTGATTATTATTATTAGCTTACCTTTAGAGTACACCAACATTTCAGTAGATCACAACTGCCAAAGTTAGGAAGCAAAACATCTGGAGGTATTTTTAATTTGAAATTATATAATCTTTTATTTCCTTTTTGCTGACCTTCATCTTCTACAATAGTAATAGGAATTTTGTGAATTTTGCATTTAGTTGGCGGACCGGGGGATATAAATTGAATATTCTACAAACAAAACATTCTTAGTAGGTTTCGCAAAGAATGTGCACTTATTGAAGCTCTTCAAAGAAAAAACTTACCAACGCCAAGTCTGCTTGTATTCTTCGAATTTTTAGTTTAGATTTATTTTTGAGTTCCACAGTAAAATTCATTTCGTTACCTAACACGTACGTGTCACTTTCTAGTATTAAAAACATCGCAGCATATTCATTTTTATTTAAATCCCTTCCTACTTGGTAAGTAAGTTGCTCCTATAAAGGTTTTTTTAATAAATTTAAAAAATTAATACATTAAGATAATCACCTGTTGCGAAAGTTCAACATATTGGGTTACTGGTACTTCGAACTTTATTTCATATTCATCTTTGTAGTCTACCTTATCTCCTCTGTCCACCTTCGCCTGCACTAAATAACGAATAGAGCCAAATTCTTCTACAAATGGGGATGGTATATTTCCAGAAGGTAAAATAAATGAAAATGGATACTCGTAAGTTCCCGGCTTCAGATATCCTAAAAATTTAAGATACCTCTACGTAATTTTCATTAAAAAATAAGTTTTTCGGAGGAAAAACTGATGATATAAAATATAAATAAAAGTAACAATGATATAGCTGATTTTTTTATTTTTAACATGCTATGCATCATACCTTCTTCTCCGACTAACACAATATTCTGCACCAAAAAGTCACTTTGTGCTCCAACGTGTACGATTTCTTTATCTTTTTGTTCAGTCCAATGAACTTGTTCACGTCCGCGAAAACTACACCTGATTCCTAAAAAACATAAATCCATTTAACTAGCTACGATGACCCTACTCACCCTTTTCCCTTACATATATAATTGTAAAGCGAGAGGCGAGAAAAGGATATTATAGACTACTAGAAAACCTGAGTACTGTACTGGTTAGATCAGGATATAATAAAATTATATATGAAATTAAGAATGCCGAATGGATGATGATTTCAGACCATTTGGCAACGAGATACAAGCTTGAAGTACTTTGGACATTTGTCCACGCGATCCTTAGGCATGTTCCTAAACCACGTTTAGGCTGTAGTCGTATTTTTGACGACTGGCAACTGTTTTGTTATGTTCTAAAGGGTCTTCCTATCATACTAATGTCTGTCCTCCTTGACTTTACAGTAAACGAAACATACGGCAATGCAATCCTTATGGGTGTTTTTAGCGCGGCGATGCCGATTTTCTTCAAAAAAATTTTGAATCGAACATTATCTGCGTCCTAATGTAAATTAAATGTAAATTTTAAATTAAAACTTACCTGTTACAGTTAATTGCATTGCCAATTCGATAGAGCTGGTATAAAGTGAAATAAAAATATTCGTGGCAAGACATAACACAAACTGCAACAAGGAACAAGTGGAAAATCCATCGAGCAAAAAGACAAACGAGCGAATCTAATCATTATGAAAAGGAGATCAAAATTAAATTTAATTTTAGCGCCCTATCACAACGAGATCTCGCTTAGAAAATCCGAAAATACAAATATAAGTCAGTGTCCTGGAAAAAATACAAGTTTAAGCCGGAACAGATCTAAAATCTGGACGAGACTGGCATAACGACAGTTACGCCACCTGCTAAAGTGGTTGCCCCAAAAGGCAAAAAATAAGTGGTTTTCATCTCTTCATAGGAGAGAGGTGAACTTGTGACGTTCGTAGGAATGATTAGTGCAACTGGTGGAGCAATACCACCAGTCTTTGTGTATCCTAGAATAAGAAACCCTGAAGAATATTTAGGCGACAAATACCCAACATCTGCCATGGCGTTAGGAAATAAGGAAGGATGGATGACGTCTGACCTTTTCCCAAAAGTACTAAAACACTTTGCGAATTCTGTTAAATGTTCTGTGGAAAGCAAGGTACTTCTGCTCTTGGACAACCACGAATCCCACATATCTGTAGAAGCCATTAAATTGTGTCGAGAAAAGGGGATCGTTTTACTATATTTTCCACCTCATACGACACATACAACTCAGCCTTTAGATGTTGTCGTATTTGGACCATTTAAGTCCTATATAGCTACAGCTTAGCATGACTGGCTACTTTCAAATCCTTCAAAAACCCTTACAATTCTACATGTGGCGCGTTTGGCTAAGAAGGCATATGAATGTGCATTCACAATTAATAATACAACCAGCTCGTTTAAAAATACTGGTCTCTGGCCGATAAAACGACTTATATTCAGTGATACAGATTTTATACCAAGTAAAGTAACCGATAAACCATTAATGGAAAACAAAGACGTTAGTTCTATTGATACTATACAAAGTAAATTAAACACCAAAACAATTCCGCAAAATCCTTCGACATCAAGCTGTGTAGTAGAAAAAATTATTAATAAAACACCTCCAGGCTCGCCTCAAGTTCGTCCCACATCGGCTAACACACTGAGTCAAATTAGACCATTTCCACAGAAACAACTTAAAGCAGAGAAAAAACAAATAAATAAGAGAAAAGCACACTCATCAATATATACAGACACGCCGGATTACGGAAAAAGACAAAGTTTAGATCCAGAGAGAAAAAGGAAACTAAGTTTAAAATAGAATAAGACATCAGTAAAAAAGATTTGATTACAGTGGGTAGGAAAAGAAATATTTCTATGTCAAGCGAGTCTAGCACTGACGTAGTTTTGCAAGATTGTTCGTCAGACGACGGCGAAGAAGATTTCAAAGATTTTAAAGCCATCCCCAACAATCAAAATATTGGCGTCGGAAATTTTGTTCTTGTAAAATTTCTTGTTTCCAAGATAGACATTTTTCATAGACATAGACAGACAAACAGCTTCTTGTTTCCCATTGTTCAAGACATTGCTGTAGTAGCAAGATATTGCAGTTATTTTGCCTTTTTTTCCTTCTTTCTTCCACTCATGGAACTGCAAGAACATCAAGTGTTTACAAATTAAATGTTAACGTTTTCTGGTTTAAACGTAAGATAAAATCCATGTTTATTATAGGTAGGTACTTTTCTTTTACTCATATTTACTTTTACTGTATTTTGATATATAGCCGAATGTGCCCCTTCATATGGGCGAAACTACCCCCTAAGTGGAAGAGTTTCTGCCAATTGTAAAAATATTTAAAAATACAAAAATATGAGCCAACTTTATGTATAGATTTTTTTCTATTTTAAACAAGTTCCTAATAAGTTACAGTTTGATCAAAAAATATTGTTTTCTGAATTATGTAACCAGTTTTTTCAAATCTTTCTTCTCAAGGCCAATAGGTAGGTATGCCGAATGTGGACCACTTTCCCCTACTCCTAAACAATGCAGATCAATCAATAGCTCACTACAGAAATCTGAATAAGCCAAATAAACTCTTAACAAAATATTTTGTCTATTCGTTCTCTACATAATTAATTTGCTTACCTCCTATACGTTCTTCATGATCAATTGTTACCACCACTCTTCCATTTATATTATCACCTGGGTTAAATACTCTGGGTTTGTTTAAAATAATATTACAAGACATCTTTTCTTACTAAAATAGAAAATATAAATATTTATCTACCTAAAAAACGATTGGTAAATATTATGTTACGTACTTAACTGAAAAAAAAAAGAAAAATGTAAATACCGAATCTTAGTTTAATAGTTTGCAAATTTAAAATAATTTTACTATATTAATATTTTTCTGAACGCCACTGCTAGTACCTCCCTTATTTAGAATCTTTCACAACTACTTTATTTGAAATTAAAAATAAGATTTTATTATACACTTGGCATCAACGCGTCAACTTATCAAAGTTTTAAAATTCACTAATAAGTTCAGGAATCGATAAACTGCAAAGCATAAGTTATTATAAACAAAACACTATTTTTCCAAGTATTTAAATTGGGATTGAATAAAATGATTTAATAAACTTTAGAATTATTTTAATACTTACCACTCTATACTAACCAGTTTCCTACTGTCTATTCTGATATTGATCTCCAAACTTGTGAGGCGGCACAAATTATAGTTATCTATATTATCTTTATTTTTGATTATAGTGATTTATGTATACAAATCAAATGCGTTATTTTTGTATCGATGATGGTTAGGTGCTTATAATGAACAAGATTTTTTAGCAATCATTATTTCATCATACTGTATAGTTGGTTGCCGATATCGTAGAGGAATTTCTTCCTTTTATATTAATAAATTCATTCGAAATGTGGTGTTACCGACGTATTTTGAAAATATCATGGATAGATCGCAAAACAAACGAACAAGTTCTCGAACAACTAGGAAAAACCGAAGTTTTAAATTCCCTAAAAATCAGGAAATTGGAATACTTGGGGCACATCATGAGAGGTGAAAAATACGAACTACTAAGGAATATAATGTAGGGTAAAATCAAAGGTAGAAGAAGCCTAGGAAGACGTAAAATCTGGTGGCTACGCAATCTCCGTGAATGGTTTGGATGCAGTTCAATTGAACTATTCAGGCGCATACCAATAAAATTATAATTGCCAGAATGATTTCCAATCTCCGATAGGAGTGGAACTTGAAGAAGAAGAATGTGTAAATTACAATGTATTAGAGAAATTTACATAAAAGATTACAATTTATTTATTATATTATACAAGAATATGGAAAACTTTTTAATATGTTTTTTTTTACTTCAGCCAGTTGGTCTGTGTCGTTTCTGACAAGTACACGTGTTAAAATGGAGGAGAGAGACATGTAGTCCCTAAATTAATTAAAAATATATCCATTGTCATCACAAGATTCACAACATAATCAAAATGTAACATTTGGAATGCTGTAAATCCATATATGGAGGTCTCACAGATAACTTTATTGTTAGCTACAATTACACAAGGCACTGAGGATGATCTGTTCAGATCGAAAACGTTATGCTAGAACTTAAATTTTGACGACACTTTTTATAAAGTTTTAACTATTTGTTTTTTATACCACAAAGTGTGAAGTGTTTTAACTTCTGTGTTTTTTTTTTAAATAATGTATCTTTTACAAATGGCAAGAAACTTTTTATTTTTGAATAAAATAAAGAAGTTTTATTAAAACAAAAATACAATTTAAAAAATATATTTATTTAGTTCAAATAAATGTTTCAATCATATACTCTACGACACTGGTCGGTCATCTGTAACCAAAATAACTTCGTAATCGGATTATAAGGTTGACTGCTGTATTGTATTCCTTCAGATACAAGGTGGGTGAGTCAATAACATCTTAAAACGTCAGTTTCAGGTTGGTTTTTACTATTATATCGTATTACCTATCTTCTTTGTATTTCAGGTCTCTAATTAGGATTAAACTTGTAGTGAGCTGTCGATAAATTGTGAACCGACTATAGTAACGGTTATCTAGAAATTGAATGAGAATCTCTTACCACCGGATCATGCTCATTCATACTTGGAAACTGATACTAAACCCTGATTAAATATTAAGATTTGAACTCTTTTTGCGTTTATTAAGTCTTTATCCTTATAACAATATATTAATAATAAAAATAGAGTAAAAAGGAAAAATTATATTATAAAAATGCATGCAATATTTCTTCCAAAGTTATTTTAGATTAGCTAAAAAATGCTTGAGGTAGTTTATATATTTTATTTTCTTTTATAAAAAAATAAATTAATTAAAAAACAATCATATGTCAAATTTGAATTAATCTTAAAAAAATAAAAAAGGAGCAATGTTTTTTGGGATATTTCAATTAATATACAACATGTAGGTATTCCAGTATTTGTGCATTGTATGCTTTAAGTTTTTCAAATAAAAAGTTAACGTCGGCTTATCATTGATCTAGCTCGTTCGTGTCTAATTTCCCGCATTACGTCATCATAGGAGGGGGGTGGTAATTCGTGGTTGATATTTCCTAAAAAAAAAAAAAACAAAAAATTTTTATATCACCAAAACTATACTTACATTTTAGCTGAATTAATTGTTTAATATAATTTGTAAAACTAAGCGCAAATTTTTTATATGAAAAGACAAAAATGAGCCTATATTGTTGTAAAAATTGTGTGATACGTATCCAATACATATTTTTATTCATTACAATTTTTTCTCGTTTTTTATTGAACTCCTCTTGAAAAAGATGGGAAGTATAGAATACGAAACAAAAAGTTACCAGTAAGATAAACCAACACTAACAGTTAACAGAAGGTTAGAGATATCATCTACATACAATTACAATAAGCAATAAAGATCCAAATTTGGTTAGAGAATTTAGAAAAAAAATTAAGCAAGGATCGGAATTGATGCCTAATAGTTCGACAGACGAAATAAGGAAAGCTCTGAAGAAAATTAAAAGAAATAAAGATCAGAGAGATGATAATATCGTTATGGAAGCCGCAAAGATTGGAATAGACAGGCTTTTAAAGAATATAACGAAATTGTTCTACTTATATCTGTACTAAAGTGAAACATATATAAGATAGTTCAGTGTATACCATTTTTCAAAGTAAAACACTTGCACGCTACGATTTCTATAAAGTGACGTCATTTCCCCATACGGAACTGCTCGATCTTTCATAGGCGTCAACATGGTGGAATAATCAGAAAAATGTAATCATCATTATATGGGAAATTTTAGAATTATATTGATTAAATAACCAAAAACATTTGTTGTTATTAATAATATATATTTTATGAAATAACTCTTTAAGTCTAATATTCCACAAATTAATAATTTTAATTAAATATATAAGACAATTATACGCAACTGATACGGAAATACTTAAAATTTTTTTGACAGTTCAGCGGGTGGCAAAAGTGTATTCAGTGTTGCCGCTTTTTTTAGAATAGGAATTTTGTTTATGTTTTGATTTCTTACACAATTTGATCATAATATAATATATATTATTAAATTATATTTATAAATACATATTAAATTTATATTAATAGTTTTAGAAACTAATTTTTGTTGTGTATTGTGATTGTGATATGCCAAAACAAATAAATAGTCTGTAAAAAGCTGATAAGCTTTCATATAAGATAGATTATTTTGAACAAGAAATAATTGCGGGACGTTTTTACTATTAAAGCCCTAAGAGAGGTAAGTTTAATATTTAGAATATATAATTTTGTATTAAAATGTTTTCCTATGTATTTTAATGTGTTGCAGTAGTCTTAAAACTACATGTATTTACTGTTAATATAATAGTTTAACAAATAGTTGACATTTTAAAAATTCCTCACTTACTAACTATTCTGATGTATTGGCAACGCTGTGGGATTCTGACGACGTAAATCTTGAATGGCGTGCAAGCTTTTTTGTATGAAAAATGCAATACTTACCACTTTATTATACAAAAAAGGCGATCCAACGGACCTGGAGAATTGTCAACCCATTAGACTATTAAACCACCTCTACAAGATATTTACAGAAATAATAACAAATAGACTGGAAACTGAATTAGATTTTTACTAACGTAGAAAAAAAATCCATCGAATACAACCGACTATCGGTGCTAGCTTTCGTAGACTTTCGTAAGGCCTTCGATACGATAGAAATTCACAGCGCAATGAGAGTGTTAAAGGAAAGTCTTAAGAAGTTAAAGGAAAGGAAAGACAAAGATATAGACTGTATAATAATCCAAAGAGGAATCGGACAAGGAGATACTTCCAAACTCTTTACGGTAATTCTGGAATATGCCTTCAAATAAATGGAATAATCAAAAGAAACCAATGCCGACGCTGACATGCTTTTCTACCTATGATTTGCGAACGACATAGTTGTGATAATAGATAAATTAAAAGTGATTAAAACTATGCTTACTGGGTTAGATGCCGCTCGTAAGGAGTTGTAAGGAAGCTTGTTATATAAATACCTAAGTCATAAAGTCAAAAGTGCCAGGAATTACTAAATCGTTGAATTGCAAAGAAGAATCACTTTAGCATGGGCTGCATATGGAGCTCTATCCGATCTCGATCTATTTGACCAATGTATGCTTCCAGTCAAGACTAACAGCTCCGAATCACTTTCCTCAACCCAGGCCGCATCAACCAAACTCAAAAAAGCCCAAAGAAGAATAGAACGGTCGTTACTTGGACTGATTCTAACAGACAGGGTTAGAAATGAGAAAATAAGAAGGACATGAGTGACAGATGTAACAGCGCCTAACATGACTGAAGTGAGACTGGGCGAACCATGTAGCCAGAATGAATCACGGATGGTGGACTCAAAAAATTACAATATGAAGCAGACAGAAGTAGAGGTAGCATATCTACAAGATGCACAGACAACGTCAAGAGAATCGCTGAAAATTGGGTGCAGGAAGACAAGACCTACAGAACTGGAAAAAATTAGATAAGACCTATGTTCAAATTTGGACGCAGACGACTGGATGATGATAAACAAAAGAGAAACCAGTTAAAACTCTAAATACGAGTCAATTAACTTTATTTAATAACATTTAGTATACTCATGTATACCTATGTTTTGATAAATTAGAAATTAAATGAAATGAAATGCTTATATTAAGTTACCATCGTACCATCAGCCAGTCTAAAATCTTCTTCAGCCGCCAAAGGTGCGGAAGGTGCAGTTCTAGTTCTATAATTCGACGGTAATGTCATAGATCTCATAAAATGGCGATCGTCTACTTGAAGCTGAGCGTCTGATGGTAGTTGCGAGGTTGTTCTTGGAGGTGCTTCAGGTGGATAAAGTTGAGTGTCTGATCGTAGTTGCGAGGCTGTTCTTCGAGGTGGTTCAGGTGGATAAAGTTGAGTGTCCGATGGTAGTTGCGAGCTTGTTCTTGGAGGTGGTTCAGGTGGATAATTTCTATGTTCAGGATATTCGACTCTGCGATCTAAAATTGTCTCAGGAAAAGGCATTGATATTGGCGTGGGAGTATATCTTATATGTGAGTTACGGTCCAAAGAAACATTAGACCTAGAGTGTGGTCTTCCTGACCTTCTTCTATCGTAAGACAATACGTGCGATGTAGCACTGTTTTCACATAATTCTGGTACAGACCTAGCTCTGGTGTGATCGTGATGTAGTCGAGTTGTTAACAACGGCAAAGGTGGCATTGCGGGATGTCCACTTGGAGGTCCGATGGGATAGGGGCAATTATTTTGTGCAGGGACATATACAACTAAAATACATAAACAAATAATTAACAAAAATCTTAAGTTATTAAAGTTTTTGTTATAGAAAATAAAGTACTATGTGTATATAATTTAAATAAAGTAAGATCATTCAAATAATGAATTGTTTGTACATTTTATTTCAAACAAGGTTGTAGAAATAAATTTTATATTTACCCAAAATCTGTTTTGTTTAGCTTAGAACGACCGGTTTCGGTCACTTCAATTTTCTGATGATCTTCAGGTCTTCGGACAAGTTAAATTAAAATGCTAAAGCAGTTACATATCGTGTAAGACCAGAAATATTCATGTCCGGTCAGGAACTACATAAAATAAAAATTTACTAACTTGAACTTACATTTGTACCACTCTATCACATTGGGTATTAATTTTTTCATCCATTGTGCCTTGTTTATCTGTGCCCATTCTGCCATTCTGTTAGTAATTGTTCTCTACTACTCTACTGGCGGCTCTGACCTGAGGTAAGTGGCCGTCTCGAGAGTTATAGAGCGTCTGCCGTTTTTTCGGTGGAAGGTGAATAGGGAGCGTACCCGCTATCACCTGTAGGGCAATCGTTAAAGTAGTCGTGAACGCACTTGTCACTTTTAATAGGAGCTTTGGCTTTTATCATGTTTCTGTACTTTTTTAAATTAAGTACATCTGCCCAAATGGGGGTTCCATATAGTGTCCGGAGACCTGAAGATAACCAGAAAATTGTAGTGGTCGAAACCGGTCGTCCTAAGCTTAATAACATAGATTGTGATTAAGTGTAAAATTGATTTTTACAACCCTGTTAAAGATCATCCAGAATAAACAACATCGGTTCAAGACTTGTTTAAATAGATGAAATGACTAAGAAGAGTTGCAATGATTAATGAAAAATTACCTGACGGCGGTGCTTGAGCAACAGGAATAACACGTGGCCTACAATTCATTGTTATAATGGCAATTTCCTAAAATTAAGTTACATTAATAATTAGTCTAGTAACTACTACTACTACTGCATACATGTTTTAGATATTTTGAGAGTTTCTCTGTTTAACACATACATTGTATACAATAACAATTTTTCAAATGTTCATTAGGATTGCATTTTATACATGAAATTCACAATCAAGAACGCAACCTAAAGACATTTTAAGAATGTTGTCACATTTTTTTCTATATAATTAATATATTAAATTATTTTTAATTCCCTTTACTCATGTGGATGATACGCCGATGATCGTGTGTATGATTAGGAATTTTTATTGGGAAACTAGCGAAAAATGCCGGAAGAATCTACCTACCTATTTATTTAAAGACATCAGTTTGGCTAATTCTTAGTTAATCCTTTTCTGGGTTCTTTTTCATAAATTCGGTAATTATCCAATTATCGGTAAATCCAAAGGATTTTAATTTTCTCATGTCCAATTGTTGGTACCGTTATTTACCCCAAACTTTCTGATAGTCGTTAAGACCTTATTTTCTTAGAAATAGATACAGGCTGGCCTATGATTTTTCAGTGGGAGATATCCCTTCTTCCTTTTTTTGTAGTTGGGGAAATTTTTGCAAAAAAGATCTACTTCTCGGTGGGCCGTTGTGGAGTAAAGGTTGATTTCTCGTGAGACGCTTTGCTCACTTTTACGTATTTGTTATCTTACCGTCTGTGAATTATTTTCTAAGTGTGTATACAGTATGTTTATTTGAGTGTTTTTGATCTTATACTATATTAGATTATATATAGTTCTAAAGTACCTTTAATGTTAATTAAATTCAGTGTTTCATACAATTATAGTATTAGCTTCAGTGAATTAGGCAGCAGTCATCAGGAATTACTGTAAGTTACCATAATCATTATCTACAATTATCTGGGCGAGTAATATGGTATGGTATCATATCATCTTCCATTATCTGGGCGAATCAAAGTTCATCCATGTCTTCACCTGTAATGGAGAGTAACTGCGGAATTTTGCATTCTATTTAAAGAACAGTCAATATTTTGTTACGAACCAAATTCCATCAGCTACTAAGAAATTTCAATAAGTAATAATTATGAACATTTAAGTCTCAGTTTATCATTAAATAATAGTGCGAGATAGCTAATCGACTTAACCAAGTGCGGTTTGGTTAAATTTTTGTTTTCATTTCGGTAACTTTTGTATTTTTGTAAATTTAGCTTTGATTATTTTGTATTTGCTATAATTGTTATCATTTTTTTTGCTGTAATATCTCGAGATACGCAAAACTTATTTGTACATGATTGTATTATATATCTTTTAAAGGTATTTTCTAATTATATACTGCTCATTTTTATATGTATACCACCATTTCATAGTTGTTGGTGTATTTTTATTACTTGTGTTGCATTCAGCAGCGTCATAATTTTGTTGTTGAATATATTGTTATTGTTTTATGTATGTATTTTATTTGTCGGCTCCTAACCTAAGTTTCCTGATAAAATAGTAACTCTGAATATTTGCTTTTTTACCTTTAATTATTATTATGCCTTTGACCAGTAGAAAGATCAGGCTGATTAAGTTTCGTAGGTAAGTAAGTGTAATACCTAAGATATTTATTATTTGTTTATATAATGTGTTGACCAAATTTATTTAATAATTAACTGTTGGTATCTTTCCTTGGGTTTGATCTCTGAACCTAAATATCTTTCCTTATCTCTTTTCTTTTCTAAGGTGTCTTAATTTTCTCCTTAACCCCAAAAAATTGAGTGGCGCCTGTTTCTATCTTATCTCATCTTTGGTAATTTTACCCATCCATCTTTTTGTTATTTCTGTATCTTTTCTCATATATCTTTTCTTGTCTTATCTTTACTTATTTCATACGTTGGACTTATTCCCGGTCCCAAAAGCTAGTTTCGAACCCACGACTTGCTCTCCACCAACCATCTGGCTGCAGTCCGCAGTGTCTCCATTGGTGACCTTTCTAGCACCATCCAAAAAAGGTTTCCGAGGGTACAATGTCTTTAGCTTTTATCTTAATATATGAAAATTTTATTTAGTTAGCTATACTGTAGGCTTAGACAAATTGTTTGCTGTTTGACATGGTATAAAAACATGAAAGGCTATACGGCAAAGGATAGTGCTAAAGAAAGCTGATGGAAAAGTTACGGACACCGAAGAGGAAAGTCTTAGAGACAGACTAATAAACATGCACTTTCCGGCTCAACAATTCTGAATGATGCAGATAGCAAACCAAAATAGACCAAAGGCTGACTAGGCCAAGGTCTACAGATTGGGAAATAGCCACAGCAATCACAAGATCAAACAGAATTAGATGGGCTATAAATAAGTTTCGGCTATATAAGTCTGCCAGGGATAGATGGCATAGTATCCAATACTGTTTCATATGGGATTAGTGGTATTGATACCACACCTATGCAAGCATGCAAGTTTAGCATGAGTGTCATATCAGAAATATGGCAAAAGGTTAAAGTCATATACTTACCTAAGGTGGGTAAAGTATCAGACCTAACACCAAAGTGATATAGACCGATAAGCCTATCTTCTTTTTTATTAAAAAAGCTGACAAGGCTTCTTGGTAAGTACATCAGAGACGAAGTGCTACACGGTAATCCTCTAAGCAATCGTCAATATGCATACCAACCTAATAAATCTACGGACTTTGCGTTGGATGATCTAAATAAGCTTATTTCAAAGTCAATTGAAAAGAAAGATATAGCAATAACCGCTTTTTTAGATATAGAAAGGACATTTAATAATGTTACTACCAGGTCTCTAATAGGGACTATGAGTAAGAGAATACTATCCTGAGGAATAGGACAGTAATAACCACTCTGGGTAAAGCAACCAACAAAGCAAAAGTTTATGAAAGCTGTCCACCAGGAGGAGTTTTGTCCCTCTAGGAGATAGGAGACAACAATTTTTAAAAAAATAATGTGTTAAACTAACGATGCTACAAAATTCATTTGATTTGAACGTACTCAAAAGTTTGGGGGGATTTAGGTCTGCATACCCCCCTTAAAAATTTTCTGTGCGCTAGATTTGTTGTTTCTTTTTTATGAAAAATTCTTTCAGAACAAGAAAGTAACGTGTCCATTTTTATTACAAAATGTCAAGTAGTTTAGGAGATAATGCAAAAAAAACAATTTTATTTTGTAACTTCAAAGGGCTGTAATTTTTTTGTGTACACTTTTGTACTAAGGTAAGTTGGATTCAATCAATTTATTTTTGTCCCCGGAATGCTTGATTTAATTTATGACATACCTTTTTGAAACACCCTGTATAAAAAATAAAGCCAATACATGGACGTATAAATCGTCCATGAGCCAATACGAAGAAAGGATTTAATAAGTATAAGTATATGAATACATACACCAATAAAAACTTCAAAATATTTAAACTAAAAAAATATAAAATTTTGTAAAAAAAGTTTTGGCTCCTACTTTGGCATACCAACATAATTGTTTTTGAACTCTACTTACCTAATTTTTTTATTGAACACTAACAACAACTAGCACTGCCACTATTATTCAATCAACAATAATCAAAAGAATATTGTAAAAAAATTTTTACACAAAATATACAAAATGCTTGTAGCTGATTTTTTTGCAGATACTTCAATAAATTCGTATCTATAAATAAAATAACTAAAAATAACTTAGACAATGTACACATCAACCAGAACTGATAACTGTGCTTAGCTGTTTAAAAAAATTAGTGAGTTTAATATTTTGATGTTAGGAAGTCAAGCATCCACTCAAGGTCAGAATTGGTTTAATTAGGAATATTTATACAACATAAGACACAACGAAATATATAGCTTTGTGCATAATTGCTAAATATATATTTTTACAGTTTAATACATGCGTTTAATAAGTGCGTTTTTGAAATAAACTTATGTTGGAAAAGCGCTCAATACAACGGAAAATGAGATATAAAATTTTATTTTTATTTATTAGAGAAAAAATTCACAATCCACTGTTATAGATTTATAGTAATAAATAAGACTTAACTAACTTCAACTTCAACTGACTTATTTATTGACTTCCTCACAATTGACATGAAACAGATAACCTAACATAACATAAAACATAGTGGGATCTTTTCTAAAGGTACTTTCATAATAACCGGTTAAAAAATAATTAAATAAACAAATCTTACAAATTTAATTTGGTAGATCAGCTCTCGTCAAAATAAAAAAAAAATCAGCCACGATATAAAATTGGAAATAAAAGTTCGTTTACTAAAATGCTACGTATTCTCCGTTCTTTTATATGGAGTGGAGTCATGGACCTTAACTGAAGCATCACCGAAGAGACTTGAAGCATTTGAGATGTGGTGCTATAGACACATGTTTTAATTACTCTACCTGAACGAGTAGCAGTAAGTTTTGCAGTAGTAGAAAGTCTTACCTCAGTTTTATCAAAGAGCCTTTCACTATTTTTATTAAAATCATCAACTCATTATTACCAATACTAAGGACTCTCTACTGCTTCATTTGTTATTGATACTTCTCCCCACATTACATTATTAGCCTTGGAGCATAACTTGGTTAATTTATTCTTTACATAAACAATTTCGTTAATACTAGATAGTTTTATACCATTGGACGAATTTGATTCCGCAATACGAGTTTTATTATTAGGTTTAATTAAATCAAATCGGGTTCTAGGCTCAACTTTAAATAAGTTCTCTGATGGACTAATGCCTGTAACCGTTGATTGTGTATTTCTATATGTAAACAAAAAATTTAACAACTGGTTTGCAATCATCTGTCTTGTTATTAGAACGCTTCTTCCAAAATTTAATGTTTTATCCAATTCCTTTTTACCGTTTGGACTGCCCTCTCCGCAAAGCCATTACTTTGTGGGTGATAGGGTGGTGCCTTTATTGGTATGATCCCATTGGCTTGACAAAACTGTACAAATTCTCTAGAACTAAAGGGTGGTCCATTATCTGAAACCAATGCAACCGGTAACACAAACACAGCAAATACTTCTTTTATTTTAATAATTGTTTCAGAAGCATTTGCACCCCTGTCCATTATTTTAACATCGATCCATTTAGATTTATTGTCTACTACTATTAAAAAAGTGTGATTATGATTATGAAAAAAATCTATACTGACTCTGTAAAAATTATTGGGAGCATTTGGCCAGGCAAAAATATACTAGAATTAGAAAAGTTTTGTGTTCCTTGACAAATACTGCACGAACTATAAAATTTCGAATATCATCTGTTAACTTAGGCCACCAACAATAAGATCTAACTAGCATTTTTGTTCGTGCTACTCCTAAATGCTGTTCATGAAATAGGGATAAGATATTACTACGCAAAGAACTAGGGATCACCACTTTGTTTCCTGTTAGTAAGCAATGATTTTCAACTGATAATAATTCATGTTTCCTTTTAAAAAAGCTTTTAATGAAACATCTGATACCGATTCAGGCCACCCAAATAACGTAAAATCTATAACTTTGAATATTAGCAAATTTTTCTTAGTAGTATTCATAATATTTTCAAAATTGAACGGAATACTATTCTAAACTGAATAACTAAACTGAAACAATAAAGAGAACTTGAGATTTCTGTTTCTGATGTCATCGGAAGCCTCAATAGACCCTTAGCATTTGCAATCATCTTTCCCTTTATATACTGTATTTCATAATCATCAGCAGATAGAATAAGAGCCAATCGAGTGATTCTAGATGCTGCTGCTGGAATACTTTTATTCTTTGTGCAAATCAATTGTAACAGTTGATGGTTAGTCAACAATACAAACTTTCAACCATATATACATATTTGTGGAAACATTTTAAGGCAAATATTATAGCTTAACTCTCCCTTTTCAAATTAGAATACCGTTGTTCAGCTGTTGATATTGTACTAGATGCAAACATCATCGGTTTTAGATCACCATCTATCTTGTGGCTCAATAATGCTTCAACTCCATACCCACTAGCATCACAAGTAATAACAATTGGAAATTATAACTAAAAAGATTTGTGGTTGTTGTGTTCAACCACGTATTTAGATATTTCAGCCAGGAAATTCTTCGCCTTCCTGGTATTCGTATTCCATGCAAAAATATTGCAATTCACATCTCTACATCGTTGAAATAGCACTTGTATACTACAGAGAGCCTCTCTCGTACCCGCTGCGTTCCGAAAACTAAACTGTGTACGGCTGATTTTTTCTTCACATAGTCTATATTATCCTTTGATGTATGATTTTTGGAAATAACTTTAAAATGTGACTCATTAAGCTGATGGTCCGCAAATAATTGCCAGGATACGGATTTTGTTTTCTTTGGTACAGCAATAAACGCTTACCTATATATTTGTCAATAAAAGCTTTTATGCCCTTATCATAACAAAATTTTAATGTTGTAAGTTTTAAACTTTTTATTCTATTTCAAACTTTTAGTTCGTTTGTGTGATAAGAAAAATTAAGTAATCTATTTTTATATTTCCGCTTACGTTTGAAACTCGTAGTTTTTAAACATACAAAATGATATTCCGAGTAATAATTTCGGTATTTGATCTGTTTGTGGTATATTTTTTGATATTCATTCAAAGGAACCAAGTTCTGATTATGTTTTGGAGATAAGTGAGCCACGTTCCGTACATCCTACATAACAAGATAACAGACAAAAAAGATATACAATTTTATTACTTTTTATTAGAAATTTATTTCAAAGATATGATTAAAATAATTTTTGCCAAATACAATCAGCCTTATAAATTTATAAATATATTCAAAATTTTACAAACATAAAAAATTCTTACAACTAAATCACTGCAGAATCTTCGACTATTCGTTTACAAGAACGAATTCGTTTACTTCAGTTATGATTAGGGCAGTTCGGAATTGGAGAAGAGTCCCCAATTACAAAAGGGAATGGAATGCATTTGTTGAACAAGTCAAAACCTACAAAGGGTTGTAACGCTAGAGGAGGAAGCAGAATATGACCTGTATTAATCAGATCGTTGTGTCTTCAGTATTCTCTTCTTCAGTATGAAGATTTATACGGGAAGCTGTTTGATTTGAATGCCACTCCCTTACTGGTTTTATTATTTCATTTGGACTGACTTTTGTCTATAATCCAAATCTTTTTTGCATATAGCTCGATAGTGATATCCATTTCTCATTTATTCTTTATAATTTATTAAAATTGTTTTTACCTACATTTCTAACATTTAATATCAAGAATATTGTTCTTTCATAACTTCATCATAAGTTGGTAGTCCAGATGAATTGTCTGAAAAAAAAAAAGATTGCATTACAATTGTATTTAAAATTTAATACAATTTAATATTTTTATTGGGAACACCCACTTTCAACTAATAAAGAAATGCAACGAAAGTTTTTAAAAGCACGACTGATTATTGCAAAGAAAACGAAAAATAAAAAAGACCAAATAAGTGAAGGAACAAAACGGTTGATGGAGAGAGGCACATTTCTAAGCAAAGGAAAGCGAAACACCAATGGTTTCAAAGAATTGAATAAACAAATAAAGAAGGGAGTAAAGGAATGATTTAAGGATCTTTAATGAAAACAAGGTAGAAAAAATAATAGAAAAAAACCGAGGCCTGAAATGCTTAAAATCAAACTTAGGAAAGCCTATAATCTTAAGAGAAGATCTTAAGAGAAAGATAACGAATGCCAATTCAGAAAAACTCCCCAACATAGAATCGTTTAAAATAAAACAAGCTATGGCACAATTAAAGAACAATAAGGCTTCCGGGCCCAGATAGAATACTTGTAGCAATGTTGAAGGAGGGGAGTGAAATTATTCTTGAAGAATTGAAAAATTGTTTCAACAAATGTCTTCACAGAGGAGATGTCTCAGATGGTTGGAATGAAAGTTTAAGAATACTTCTCTTCAAAAAGGTAGACAAGCGAGATCTGAAGAACTATAGGCCAATCTCTTTATGAAAGTAATAACTAACAGGTTAATGTCGAAGCTCGATAACTATCAACCGGTAGAGCAGACAGGATTCCGAAAGGGTTACAGTACAGCGGATTATTTTCTTACATTCAGAACTCTTATAGAGAAAGTCAATGAATATTGACTTGTGAAGCACAACTGAAAGAAAGTAGCGCAAAATAGAAGATACTGGATTGATTTTGGGGAAGCCTATGTTCAAAGTTGGATTACTTAAGACTGAAAAAGAAGAATATCAACTTTTGAGTTTAAATAAGTTCGTTTTGATGTTTCGATTTCCACTTTTCCGAAATTGTTATTTTGTTTTTAAAATGGAAATCGTGAAAAGCGAAAATGTCAAGATAAACGTATTTTAAAGTAAAATTGTGGTTTATTCCTAGTAATAATAGTAAATCATATCAAAACGCCGCAAGAAAATAGCTGCAGAATAATTTATTTGCGCAAAAAAATCATATTGATGGAAAAATTCGAAACACTATAAGAATCTTCTATTACTGTTCGCAAAAACGGAGTAAAAAATTATTATTCATCGGAAGGTTTGACCTTGTAGCACTGACCCAAAAAATTCATAACATAATTTATACAAAGAAGTTTTTAATATTACCCAGTTGTTCCTCTTTCTATTTGACAGTCGTATACCTATCGTTGTCCTTTCCATGGTCCTTTATGTAGTTTGTTCATATTTGCCTTAGTTAGGATCCATGTTTGATAC